CCCACATCCAGTGATCCCGAGTCTTCGACTTCCCTGGCCACTCCCCTCCGGAAGTCCCTCCGGAATCACCATCAGGGATCACTAACGCCATCGGAGACCTCTCCGGATGTGCACCACTTCCCTCCGAGACCTTGAGCCTATGGCCTTCTAGCCTCTCTGGGCTGTTACTTATCAAGGTCTCCCTACGATCTCTATCCGCTAGACCTCTTGGGTGTCCCCAACCTATGTCAGCGTTCGGGCTTACGTTCAGATGGCTGAGCTTTGCCATGGCTCCGCTCTCCACTCCGCCACCACGGCCCCTGTCAATGGGTCTTCCCCTGGGTGAGGCCTACTGCCGTTAAGGCTCGTGCCTACTGCAGCGCCCCAGGCTGCACGCCCTCACACCTCCACCTCTCTGGAGACGTCCGGGGACGTCTCCGAGTGACCCCCTGTCACTACCCTCCAGTGGTCATGGCTGGCCGCCATTCCTATTGGTCCTCTTCGACACTCCCCGGCCCTTGGGCTAGACCAGACTCCTTCCCTTTCCGCTCCACGCCTTCCCTCTCCGTTTCCGGCTGTCACGTCACGGTCACACACCCGGAGTCGATTCCGATTCCGATTCCGGTTGTCACGTCACGGTCACAAGCGGAGACGCCCAGAGGCAGCCTGGACCTCCCGAAGCCCTTCTTGGGCCTTCTAGGGATGCCTGGGCCCCTCCCTTGGCATCACGGTCCCAAACCTGCCTCTCCGGAGCTTCGAGGGCTACTCGACACTCACCTAGGGTCCATTAGCGACACCTGACTTCTCCAACCCATCATCCGTTGCTACGCAGTCACTCTATCATTACTCTGGTCACTAGTATATAGTAGTGCACCTGGGCAGAGGGCTCCTTGGCTTGTTCACTAAGGATTCCCCCTCTGCTCAGGACTCTAATTTCGAGCCTCGCGAGGTTGCCCTTACAGTGGGCTATGCACTACTCCTAACCTCCTAGCAATCCTCCCCAATCCCCTGGTATTGAGTTGGGCTCGGCAACGGCTTGACACATTGTTCTCAGTCATGTGCTTCCCACGTGTGCGTTCCTCCTACTGGGGTGCCTGTTCCCCATCATGTGTTGCAGGCCCACAATGGCCCAACACCAGTGCTGGAGTAGACAGGCCGGGTCTTATCTGTGACAAGGACCTGCAATGTGCAGAGTGCTACAGAAGCAAAGCCCCGTTTCTGTTTTTGTCCTGGGGCTTATTCGTTTCTGAGCTTCGACTCCGGTTCAGTGAGCAAGATCACACTCTCTTCAAACTGGAAACTCCCGCCAGTCACATGGGTATGCAGGACGTCTACCAATAAACTGACAACTTCAAGGACCTGATGGACCTTGCCGGATTCGAGGACATGTTAGTCAAGGTAACCAAGTTCCACCATGGACTTGATCCTGTGATCAACAACGGAATCCCTCCATCAAAACAAGGCCCTGGTCTGGGCCAAGCTGATCAAGTCAGCTGCCCCCAAGATGCCTGGTGGTGTGATTTGGACTCCATTTCCAGTCAACCAAGTCCCGACTTCGCCCCCACTCTGGTGCCTCCATCTCCCATTTCTATGGAGTTGGATGGACTAGGGCTTAGGCCCCTCGTCGTGCCTGCTTCAGGTGCGGTGATGCGAACCATCTCACCCAGGATTGCCCCCTCCCTGCCAATGTCCGCTCAATGGACATCCTGACAAAGCGATCCAAGAACTCGATAACAAAATATTAACAAAGTTAATTACCCGCTACACAAGCACAGCTGCCATGTCAGAAACAGCAGCACAGTTGATGGCCGGAGAGAATTTTGTCCCCTGTGACAAGTGACTGTGTGCCCTTGTTTACGTCCATAAATTATTTCACTTGTTTGTATGATGAATCAATCCCCTTGCCTTACAACGAGCCCGAAACAAAAGACATACCCTCTCCCGCCCCCACTTTGACTAACTCTGTCTCCACAGGATGTGCACCTACTTTTGCTAGCAAAAACATAGCTACTGGTGAAGAGTGTTACTCATAAAATTGGGCAAGGGCCCATCCAGCCATAGCCAGGTATCATGACAAGAAATGTGATCTTGAATCAATTGTCAATATCTGAATGACTTTGATAGCTATGACTAAGCTATTACCATATATAGAAAGCAAATCACCATTTCTTCAGGGCCAAAGACCCGGATAATCATCTAGGTGGGCTTGTAATCTAGGGCAAAGGTATACATCCTAATTGGGCTGAACTTGATGTATTTTGATATAGCCATCAAAAGCACTGATGTCCATCAAAAATCGTTCCACACTAATCACTTTATCTTACGCTATTCATTCTATCATTAATATCATGATCTAACACATAATTATAAATAAAATGATTTTTTAAAAAGTATGAAATCTGTGACCCTTAGGCTGTTGCCCAGTTTTGTGAGTAAGGCTCTTTACCAGTAGCCACATTTTTGCTAGCAATTCTCCAACTCCGGTTATTTACCTTTGTTGCCTCACTGCCTGGGAAAAGAAGCTTTGCTGCTGCCCCTGGGGCAAACTCACTCCACCTCCTGTCACAAGTGTGTTGAAGCTTTCGCTCTCTGGCCTGGTTGACTGTGGTGCCACCTCCGACTTCATTGACACAAATTATGTCACCCAGAATGGTATTCCGGTCCACACTCTCAACCAGCTGATTCCAGTTTTTAACATTAATGGTACCCTGAAGGTCACCTCAGCCAAGGCGCCAAATCCGCAGCCTTCAACAGGGCATGTCAGCATCCCAAGTACAGTGATGTGGCTTTAAACCACTATAGTTGACACATGTATTTTAGTTGTTCTCCACCCCATTTACCTGTGGATTAACCTATTGCAGGCTTCTACTACACATAATAACCCATCTCCTCCTCCTGAAAGCATTACTGTATCCTTAGACGTCAGTTCTGATTCTAATGTGTTAAGCTTTTGATTTGGTGCACATCTAATAGCTGACATTAATGTGCAGCCATGGTAAGCAGTTCTGCTGCTGCAAAGCTCATAATACTTATTAGGCATCTCAGCCTGCAGCCCAGTCTATTGGTATGTCCCTTCTTTATTTAATTAAAATTTAAGGTAGTTTGCCTTGAAGTAGTCCTCAAGTGCAAGTTTCAATGTCTCGAGATGGGTCAAAACCTACGCCTGCCTTGCCCCCGAGGCCTTCGTAGTCAACAGAGAGGCAAGCAAGGAAAAGGCCGTCCACTATGCCATGTTGTTCATGGCAGAAGGACTGTCAGACTTCAGTTCAGGCCATGCAAGACTGAATTGTAAGGGCAACCCTGGAGGCCTGAGATCAAGGTCCTAGCAGGGGAGGATCCAAAGAGAAGAAACTCTAAGGGTCCGCCTGCTAGGGAGCTGACTATATACTGCTTGTCCGTAGCTGCCGCTGTCAGGCACAGAAGGCTTGGGCGGCGTCGCAGGCGAGGTCCCAGGGCGACCGTCGGGAGGGCGTTGACGGATCGGTGATTGTGCGGGCGAGATGGAGGGCCGGACCGGAGTCAGAACCGGAATCGGACCGGAATCGGGCGTGTCTCCGGGCCGAAAGGGAGGTTCCCCTGACACGAATGTTAAACCTTTCAAGTTTTTGCATGTAGTTTTTATCAAGATAAAATTAGCAAAGAAAAACTCAAGGTGTTTTTCACTGTTTTGTTTGTTACCAAATTTTTGACCAGCAAAAAATTGTTGCACAAATAATCAGTTTTGACCCTAATTTTTTTTTTTTTTTACTAAACTCTGATTTTTTTTTCTGAGAAGAAAACTTCAAGTTTTTAATAAGAGATTATCAGCAATGAATCTTCGCAAATTCTAGATACAATTGATATAAAAAATGCATAAAATCTAAGCTCTACTTCACAAAATCTGTATGAAAATGGCAGTTGAGTTAATTTGTCCTGACTCCATCATAGTAAGGGCTGCGCAGTGAGACACCCCAGTTTCAAGTCCACCTGTAATACAATATTGGTACAATGCTTAATCTAGACTAAAATCACGTTGTAACTGACATTCACGTGGCAGCCCTGGAACGATCTAGATCAATGGCATCGTCCCGGTGATGCTGCGGCTCCTCCGCCGACCGATTTACACGTCGTTCAGCAAAGTCCTGCGCGACATTACCCGGGCCGTCGTAGGCGGGGATACGGTGCGCAACCGCTTCAATGCACTCAGTGGATCGCGCGCTGTAGGCAGAGCGTCACATACCGGTCCGATCGTGATATGGCTGCGAAAGGCTACCGTTTGGATGCTCGACCGTCGTGGTAGAATTGGGGTGTCCTGGCTGTCCGCTCCGATGCTGGACTGTGTCGGTAACAGTTCCCAGATGGGTTGTGTCCCTGCCGTCGAGGCCATACGCCCGCTCTGCACCAATCCGGGCCTCTTCGCGCCCCGACGCAGCGATCATGTCGCCACCAGAGGAGTCGTGGTGGAACACGGTATCCGCGCCGCCGAGTATAGTCCCGCGGACGTTTTCGCCCATCCCATGGACGGCATGGGCGGCTCCTCTGCATGTCTTTCAGCATTGTGTCCAGGACACACACGAGAAACAGGCGAACTTCACTCTCTCGACGAGCTTGGGTCCGGAACTTGAGTTTGCGTTCGAAGTCATAGTTGCTGTATGGCCCCTGCAGCAAGCGCACCTGCTTATATACATGGTTGGGGCTGCAGGTCACCAATGAGATCATCGTGGAGCCGCAGACTGATGGCACGGGACCGTGTCTCGCGGATCACCGATTGTGACACGTCACTTTTTTCTTTTCCGCGACACTTCAGTCTTGACTCCTTTGTCAGAGCCACTCTCCACGACGAGGCAGCTATCGACATATATCCGCGGCCAAAACACGCCGCGAATACGTCGCTTGATTCGGAAGGTCGAATGGGCATCGCGGACGGGATTTGGCGGGATTTCGACCTATGGCTTATACGTAGTAGGGCGGCAAGCGGTAGTGACAACGGTTTTGGCGAGGGAGCGGGAACAGCATCGTACGTGGCAGTACAACGTTTCGCGTTATGCCTCAAGGTTTCCTTTCCCTTGCCTTGAAAGCAGTTCTCTCTCCGCCAACTCACGCACCACGTTGCTACTCCCGTTTCTGGCCAGCCACGCCAGAATATCCTTATCCAGATTGGCCCCCAGCCCCTCCACTTCTTCGCGTTCCACCCCATCCACGAGCTCCTGGGAAGGCGGCTTCCCCAAACGGAACCCATGGTACCACGCAACAATGAAGCCACTCATTGGCGTCTTATACGGCGCATCGGGGCGGAAGCAGGGCACAATCGTCGTGATGAGGTGGCCACATAGGAACAGACCGAGGAAAGTGATAGCGGCGATGGCGATGGGCTTGTTCGCCGAGAGCAGCAGCACGATGAGGCCAACGAAGAACAGCAGGAAGGCGCCGTAAATCATCATCGGACCAGAAGAACGCGCAGCAAAGAGCACGTGGAATTTGGTGAGTCCTTGGTAGCGCTTTGGCATTCTGTCAGTATACTCATAACGTGAAGACAGGACACCGCACGTATTCCCGCAACCGACATGCGGCAGCCAACACCTCGCGCGAGTTCTTTGCTGGGTCGCACGCCGACAACCGAAAGGCCTCGTAGCCATCCAACCACGCTCGACACTGCAGCGCCATGATAACAGTACACAAGCTGAGAATTAACGCGCCGAAGAATCCGACGTTCATGATTATAGCAGAGGCCCCGGGGCTGTCGGTCTGTAGCAGGGGATATGTTTGCGGGACAAGCTGAACCACGATCGCGGAGAAGATACCTGACTGAGGAACAGCGTAAGTTCTCCGTGACCGCCGTTTCCGCATCGACTCACGAATACAAGCTGGCCATCGAACTGCTTCGCGTAGAAGCTGAACTCGCGCTCGTCCGCTTCGCTTGCCCCGATGGCATACGCAGCGAGAAGCTCGACGGGTATTGAGGGAGGGTCTTTGGGCGCCGGCGACTGCGGCGGATACGTGTTGGCTGTGGCGGGGGGCGGTGACAAGGGCATGAGACCGCTGCTCGTCGTCCCTCCCGTTTTATACCCGCTGATACGTCACAATCCTGACAGCTGCTGTTCGTGGCGTCGGGGACGTCGGATCCGGTCTCAGTGGTGTTTACCTAACAGACGCCCGTACAAGCGCTTGACCGTGCGGACCTTGATTTTGCAGTGAAAGGCTACTTCTTATCGTAAATGTACAGATTCAACCACGATCGTGCCATTCATCCTGTTAAACCTCCTCAGAGACGTTAGCGTCGACAACGCGAACCCACATCCCGCCCTACAAGCATGTCATTATCAGCGCAAATCCACCGCGCTTTTGGCCAACACACGCACCTCGCTCGACATCGTCAAGTGCATCTTCGGCCGGAAGCGCTCTATCGCCTTCCTCCCCCGCGGCCTTCTTCCACGCGCTGGGCGGACGCGCTGACGGCGGGAAGGCATCCTCCGCGAGGGCAAACGCACTGAAGTTCTGCAGCAGGCGGACAAGCATGAACGACATCTCGTTGTACGCGAACTGCTGCCCGAGGCAGATGCGCGGGCCCGCATTGAAGCTGTTGGGGGGAGGGGTTAGAAAGTAAAGCGAAGGCAGGAGGGGAGGGCGGACGGGAGGAACTGGAACGAGTTCTTCAGGAGGTACTTTTGCACGCGCTCATCGAGGAAGCGGTCGGGATCGAATTCGTCCGCTGGTTGGTGGTCAGTTCGCCGGGGACAGAGGAGAAGATGACCGGGCGCACCGTCGGGCCCCCACAGGTCCTTCCGGCGTTGCATCAGCAGTACCGAATAGGCTGTCCTAATCCAGAACACATCAAACAGTCATTCATGAACAGGACAAAACGATTCGAACCGGGTATGTGCCGGCACGTATATCGGCTGCGCATTCGGATCGGGCGACGGCCAGGTCGTGGCTTCTATGGAGTCGCGCACGTTGAACGGCCTACGGATCTCAGAAATCGGCGCAATGCGCAGCACAATTGACATACACCGGCGGGTATAGCCTCAAGGCCTCTGTACCTGATAAGTCCAAATTTTTCAATATTCAGAGCACTTGCCATTGATCACAGCGCGGAGGTACTTCATCTCCTTAATGTCTTCGTAGGTCGGCCGACGTGCAGGCCCAACATGGGTCAAGATTTCGGCCCGCAGGCGCACGCAGATGGCGGGATAGAGGGACAAGCTGCCAGCTGTCAGCTTGACCAAGACTCAACAGCACAACGGAGAGGTACAAATAGATCACCATGGTAAGCGTATGCATAGTTGTATCACGCCCGGCTGTGTACTGATCAGCAGCCGCTTGGGAAGCGAATGAACGCACCGAGGAGAATATTGAGTGTCTCATCCTTCAACACCTTAACATCCGACGTCGAGTTGAGCAGCTCGTCGAGCAGCGTCTGCGCTTCCTTCCGGTCTCCCCCCGCGCCGGCCGCATCCGCCACGCGCTTCCGCTCGACCGCCGCCGCGATGATTGGATCAAGGAAAGCGCTGACAATCTTCATGTGCCGCGCGGTCTTGTCGCCCCAGAGCTCCCAGAGCGGCCAAACCGACCGGCGCATCTGCCGGCGCGTGACGAATTCGAGCGCCGCGTTGAACGCCTCGATAAATGTGTTGTCCTGGCTGGTGCCAATCCCGGTCCCAGCGGAGCGAGCATTGTGCGGATACGGAATGCTGCCCTGGAGGCTGTTCACACACGTCCCAAAGAGCGTCTCCGACGCAGAGTCCATCGTGAAGCGCCCAATGAGGTCTTGGAAGTCAATGGCATATCCCGCCCGCGCGCGGGATTTGAGCGTCGCGATGACGGAGGTGGCGTGTTTGTCAATAAGGTCGAAGTGGCTGACGCGTTCCTTGCTGAAGAACGGCTGCCGGAGGTCGTTATTACGAGATTGGCAGGAGAAAGGGACGCACCCGCGTCATCCCGCGGTGGAATTTCCACATGTCCCCGTCTGAGTTGAAGACTCCAGTCTGGCGACCGTCAATGGGCTGTGGAGGAGACCGTTAAGGACTACCTACGCCAAGAACACTGCGCAAGACGCCATGGAGCCTAGGACCTGTGACACTTTAGTATCATTGAATTCAAGATAATAGCGGGCGGACCCTTTTCAAAGTTGTTGAAGTCAGTTGCCAGTATTTGCTTCAGATGGTCTGGCGAAGTCTGCCACCGGCAACTTGAGCCAAGCAACACGACGAGCAACACACACGGGCGCACCGTAAACAGCATGTCTATCCACAGCACCCGAATGTTCACGACTGGCCCATACTGCTCCGTGTACTCGCGCAGCCCGTCGCCTCCAGTAGGTCAGCGAAAGCCAGCGAACACGGCAGAGCAACTCACCAACGTAGCCATTTGCTCGGTTCCACATCATCTGCCGCATGATATCGAAGTTGCCCGGCCACTTTCCGGGGACATACGGCGCCATTCGCGCACCCATCGCATCCGCCTCGCGGCGCTGGCGGCGGTTCGTCCGCCAGACGCTCCACGCGGCATACAATGGCAGGCTTGCGGAGGCAAGAAGTACCGTGGCCCATCCTGGCACGGGTTGACGCAGGCGATGGGCGAGCAGATGCACCGACAGCACGAGAAGGAGGGGCTTGCTCAGCACGCCGATGGCGGAACGGAGAAGGTATGCAACTCCTGGCGATACCATCGTCGGCTGTGGCCTTTCCGAGAGGTAGGAGTGGAGGGCGTTGTGCGCGCGAGGGAAAGAACTTGAAGCTCCTGGTTGGTGGGAGAAGGCAAGCCTTAAAAAACGTCACCCGTACGGAAGTTGGTGCTTCCGAAAGTGATATGACACATACACTGTATGTCAACGGCGGATTCCAGCCGGGTTTACCTTATGCCGGAGGGTCAAATGAAAGGTCTATTCAATGCACACTTATACATCCAGTTTACAAGGGCGGCCCCGGCTTTGGCCACTCCCGCTGCGGAAGCTCGTCAAACCGGACGAAATCATCGTGATCTATGAAGTCCTGTCCCAAAATGGTGAGACAACATGGATGAGGGCAGCGCGCTGCTGACCTTGCGCCAACGGCGCGATGTATAGTACGCATATACCTCCCGAGCTCTGTTAAGGAGGATGAACGGAATGATACCCCGACCGGAAAATATAACACAAACTCAGTGGGCAACGGTTCGACCATTGGGCCGCCAAGCTCGAGAGCCTCGGCGTTTAGCCACGCGAGATACTTGCGCACCATCGCTGCTCTTCATGAGTGGATTGACTCTCAGCGTTTCACAGTGCTGACCTTCCTGCGGAAAGATATCCAGCGGCGCGCCGAACTGCCACTTTGCCTGGACATAGTCTTCCCACATCTGCCGTTGGCTCGGGAGCCGCGCGGTCGGGGGGTCTCGCCAGACCCGAGCAAAGCCGAGCGATTGGTAGCGGCCATGGGTCCACGGGCGAACAGCTGTAATCGTCAATCGATTGCTGTACACTACCAGCAAGAGTAACGCACCATGCGCATACGCCAGTGTCGGGTCATGGATGTAGTGTCCCGTCCAGTGGAGATTGCTGAAAGTGACCGGGTCGACTCTGCATGGGCCATTGAACGACGAACCACACCGAACAACAGCAGAACTCACAAGTGGGGGACAAACGTCTCTCGCCGGTATCCCGTGGCCAGGATTACTTCGTCGATGCCCTCCAAGATGGTCTCCCCTGCTCCGCCCCACTCCCGAACACGGATTTTGCCTCCGACAAGGGTCTCCGGCAGTGCGTCAGTGTCAAAGGACATAAACTCCAGCAGCTCGCCAAGCTTCTCAGTATTTTCGGGCCATGCAAGCACGATGTTGAGGTCGTAGAATTCGCGATTTGGATTACGCTGGCCCAGAGGACACTGGCAGTCAGCACCAACACTGGAATATGGATGCAGAAGAATGAGACCAACGCACCCGTGCACTAACACAAAGACGCGAAACATACGGGGCAATCTCCCGCGCAATTCCAGTCGCAGAGACGGAAGACCCGACAATAAGCACGGTCTTCCAACATCAGCGAGTGTGGAGTCACTTATGATGAAATTGGTGCTAACCTTATTTGCATAGCGCTCGGGGTGTCGGAAAGATTGCGCATGGTAAAGTGGCCACCGACCATCCGCCATCCGCACTCGGCTCCATTCATGTATGCCAGGGATGTCGGGGATATATGGCTTGGGGAAGTGACCAACCGCAACAACCACAGCGTCGAAGGACTCCTCCCACACATCCACACGTAGCCGCGACGCATATACAGTGCCAGAGAATGGCTGCATGCGCCGCAAGGTAAGCTTCCAACTATCGCCGACTTTGTTCAGCCCCTCAACGAGAGTGGAGTAGGACGTGACATTCGGAGCGTCCAGCACATTCAGGCCGTGAAGCGAGGCGTAAGCCCGGACATGACGCTGCAGATCGTGTACTAAGGCTTCCCAAGGCTGTATAAAATCATCAAATGGCAGCAAAGGAAGAGAGATAGATTGACGACGCACGGTCCCAGGTGGGTAGTTTACATCTGGCAGCTTAGTCACCGCCTCTAAGGCCGTCAGAGAAGCGAAGCACGACGAAAAACAACACACCGTGGGCGCATTAATGCGCATGTCCTTCCATACTGGCCGCGGCGCCCAATGCTCACGCCAGCGCTCCTCCAACGTTTTTCCATCATCGCCATCTACGTATTCGACTGTTGTTGGACGTGGGGTTTCAGCCTCCTCATCCATCGGATCGCCTGAGTTGCTTCTACAGTTACAGTCAGCAGAGCATCCGAAGCAAGAAAGCAAGGCAACGCACGGATACTTCTCCCTCGCAGGCAGCTGCTCGGAGAAGAACCAATTACCGCCGGGCGCTGGCGCGCGCTCGAAAAGCCGTACAGAGAGGCCATTCTCTTGTAGCGCTACCGCAGCTTGCAGACCGGCCGGTCCCGCGCCAACGACAGCGACAGTGCGTATTGCGTGCAGCGGCGTCCAGTGCTCATCAGCCAGCGAAAAAGCGGCCTGACGCGCGTGAGTGGCTGGGAGAGCCAGAAGGAGTAGAGGGTAGTAGTCGTGGAACAAGACCATGGTAGTTCTGGATGGGAGAGCGGGGTTGGGGTGGCATTGGAGCGAGCGAGAAGATGGACGTCAGAAGCAACCTTCGTTTGATCCGATCGGACATGAATCCGACTTATCAGCCGACGAAACGGTCAGCTGACGGGTGTGTGCGTTCGAACCTTGGTGTGTGGTGGTTTCAAACCTATAGGCTATCAACAGGAATTTTACTCATTCTAGATTTGTATGGCTTATCTTTTAATCTGTCAAGGGGTTTTACTTAGGTGCAAACCGTGCTTGATTATCCAAATTACCTATCGTAGCTTGGTCACAGCCTGTGACCAAGCAGAATTAAATATACTGCAAACTGTCCACCGGACAAGGTGTCCGGATTACCATAAAAAGGCAAGTCCGGCGTCAGCCGGAACGAAAAATTGCCTTTTTAGGCCTGGATTTGATGGTAAATCGGACTCGAATGCATAAGGGCAGCCACAGGTGTCCGCGCCGGGACCGCGTGTAACGCGTAACGCGGACAATTAATCGAAATAGTACAGTAGTATATTCAGTCCTTAATCTAACACAACTATCAACATCATTTTAGGTTTATGTATCAAGATCAAACATGAAGCAACGTGCCTCAGCTATCCTAAATCTATTACTCCAGATGAGAAAGCTTGAAGTTAGGTGCACCAAAGATCTTCTTCAAAAATGGTGTTGAAATTGAGTTAAATATTATGGGACGGGAGCAGCCTAGACATCACAGGTCACAGCCACGGAGAATTGAATGAAATGGTACAGTAATTTAGAACAAATTTACAGTAGTCAGAGGACTGAGATACATATGGCTTTGCTAGGCACCTGATTTTACCTCAGGCAAGCTTAACTTAAGTACAGCACAGTGTGGAGCAATGACACAGCCATGTTCTATACTTCACTTCAGACACTTAAACAAAAAATACACTGCTCCTCCCTGGCTGTAGAGAAGACAATTATACATCTCATCCAGTCCAGGCTCTACTCCTAGTCCTCCTAGCACTCCTCCCTATTCGCTGTTGCCATGACTTGGGCTCGGTGTTGGGCCTAATACATTGTTCTTGGTCACATGATTCCCATGTGTTTGTTCTTGCTTCTGAGGTGCATATCCTCCCTGTTGAAGAAAGAAGGGAAGAACCAATGGTTATTACAGAGTACTACACCAGTATTTATACAACTCTAATAGATCTAGTAGCTTCTAGCTGAATGAGTCAATAGAATCTCGTAGAAAGTCACAGAGGCTTGGCGTCGGTGATCGCGTTCTGGCAGTGACATTATCCGGCCGGCGAGACTTGGGTGTACTTCAACACTCTCATTGTCAGGTGCTCCATATTACAGCCCTCGGTGACCCAGCACCAGCACTAGAGAGGATGGTCTGTGGCAGATTAAAATGTGCAGCCAAGGCTCAGCTTGAGGTTAAACTTCATGGCTGGATGGAATTTGCAATTGGAAGGACAACCATGAGAGGACAAAGATTCCTAAAAGAAGACCCTGAGAAGTAGGAGTGAACAGGCCATGCCAACTTGAGACAAGTCATCTATTATACCACTTCTCTCTGTGCAACAAGGTACCAGTACTATTAGCAACCCATTGGGCCCCGACAACCTGATTCAAACCCCACGCCCACTATGAGCAGGGACTGCTATAATAGGCCCTTTTGGCTTGACTTGAACCCTGCTGGCTTCATGACAACTTGTCTGTTCTATTCCGGGCATGTGTTTCTAAGGAGCGCAGCCCGACTAGAAGCCTAATAGTTAATAGCCATCAAAGCTGCTTTTAGTGCTATATCACACTATTATACCTATCAACATGATGGCGGTGTCATTGATGTCATCTACTGATCCCGCCCTCCCATTAAGTAGCGGTTTACTGGGATCATTTTCCCAACATTCTGCAACTTTTTCATTTTTGGGGGTGGAGGGGTCGGGAGGCATGTCGGGTGTGTCGAGCGGGCGTCGGGGGAGGGCGGGATCAGTAGATGACATCAATGACACCGCCATCATGTTGCGATCATCAAGTTTTGTCAGAAATCAATTTATTTCATTTGAATTGATGAAGAATTGAGCTCACTATTGAGGGCAATGTCGAGGACGACATTGGCGGACTATTTGACAGCAGCGGCGGGGTGCCTGATACCGGCGAGCAAGAAGCTCCACGGCCGACGACAGCGGGCGGCGATCGTGACGACGACGCCGAGGCCATGGGGGAGGCGGCAGGGAGCGCGCACAGTGGGGAGGGGCAGGGAGGCAGCCGGGAGGGTAATGGCAACCTCCGGGCCTCTTTCCCCGCTACCAAGACCCCCCTTGGTAGCCACATTTAGCGGGGGTGCCCGCTACTGTTCTTGGGGCAGCAGCCCGAGGCACAGTCCGTGGCGAATGAGCAGGGGGCCGTGATGAGCTTCATGCCCGCGGGGAAGCGCCGGATGACCATGCCAGAGACAGCAAGCACCACTGCAATTGATAAAGAAAATGGGGGAGGGGAGACACACCAGCCACCTGTTACGGCTCGACAGGCCTGCGTCGTCGGCAGACATCTGCGAGATCTTGAAGGTCGAGTGGGTGAGTGCGGAGACAAAGTTAATCCATGTGAGGCTGCCTGTGGAGATCCACATGGTACTTCAGGGTGGTCTGGTCTGTGGTCGCTGCGGTGAAGTTACGGTATGCAGAGAAAAGTGGTGTGAGACGCACAACAGGTGAAGACTCACTCGTCGAGCTCAAGGTCGGTTGCCATTGCCAACGACTGGGCTGGAGTGGGTGTCCTGCGTTGTGGCCGGGTTAGACAGGGAAAAGATGGGTGGGGGAAGAGAAGAGAAGAAGTACTGTGTGACAAACGAAAATTTTTCGTTGTCATAGTCCAATCATTTTTGATTGATTTGCGGCTGCACTGCTTGGGTCGTCAATCATCTTCTGGACAGTTTGGGAAGATGTCAGCCGAATGTGTCGTTGCAACGTCCCGAGCACAGCTCCAAGGTATCAATCCGGCATTCTGGGTCCGATGGCATAATGATCATGGGATAATGTCAAGTCAACCTCAGTGTCTTCATCCTTCCGATGTCCGGGACTGACATCAGCTCGGTGCCACAACAGGTTGGTGGTGATAGGTGAAATCTGTTGCAACCACCGGTGGCTGTTACTAGCCAGAATTTATACTAAATATATCTGAAAATTCATGAAATCTCAAAATTCTCCAAGTTTTCATCTGAATAGGCAACTGCATGGGTAGGCCATACCCATGCGGGTTAGTGATGGGCAGGTCTGGTTCGGAAAGTCGGTCCAAACCTGAACCGGACTGGACTGAACCCAGGTTCGGGGTTCAGGTTCGGCCAACACTGGTTTTGAACCGAACCGAGGCCCAAGTTCGGCCAAATTAGGCCGAAAACGCCGGTTCAGAGGCCGGTTCGGACCGAGGTTCGGCGTTCAGGTTCGGGAAATCCCGATTTTGAACCGAACCCGGGGTTCTCGGTTCGGCCAAAAGTGGCCGAGAACCGGACCGAACCGGACCTGAGCATCACTAGTGCGGGTACACGGGTTTTACCCGTACGGGTACTATGGCATTGTTCTGATGCTGCACGTAAAGCACACATAATATCGAACCAAAATTACATTAAACCAACCTGAAGTGAGGTTATTACAGTGGTAACAATCATTAGGGAATGTCACTAGGAGCCGGGATCTAAGGTCCTGATATACCATAGGATACCACTTAGTCCAAAACAAAAGGGAATTGACAGTGTCACAGCAGTTCCCATTCAGAAAGTGGTATTGGAGTGGCTTTATTTCTGCCAACCAAGTGATAGAAGACTTCTGAGCCAACAATGTCAGGTGACTATACCATTTCAATCAAGTGTTCATATTACACATTACATTACCAAGAAAGAAAAACTCCTGACAAAAATCACCTTAAATCAAAAGTGGGTATTAGGTTAGCCAGCAGACACTTGATCAGGGATTCTACACTATATTCAGTAGAGTGATCACTATTGAAACTTGTTCCTATCTAGTATCAGGCCTAGGAGTAATGTATTGCTTTGTAGAATTACCATATTAATGGATAATATATATTCTGCCAGTGCTGGGGAAACAGTCAGCAAGATACTCTCACTGGCATTGATTGTCATCAACACACCTTCAGCTATACGTAATAAAAGCTTATTGACCTTCTTCTTCAAGTTATCTTCTAGTGGGCCTTTGTAATGAGAAATGGTGCCTAAAATGTCATACTGTAGTATTGTGATAAGGTGTCCGTGTTATGCGTTACACGACCAAAAAAAACTCCTCGAAAAAAAATAGCTAAAATCAAAAATTAATTTTTTTTCGGCCTTCTCGGCCATGAAAAAAAAATGAAAATGGCCGGACAGTTGATCGAAATACTACAGTATTCCAGGAATATGATTAATGAGAGGTGAACAACGCAGTGTATGTTACAAACGAAAATTTTGATTATATTCCACATGATCACATTATAATATTATCCTAAATCCAATACTAGTAGAGCAGACACCGCAGCACAATAAAGAGTACTGTATGGTTCAATATACATGTAGGCCATCTAAAGGAAGTCCTTGGATTCCCAATACCCCAGCCATCGATGCACGTCCGCCACCTCCAGCGGCTTTAACTCCTTCATCGCGGGACTCACGCTCTCCGCCCGTGCCGTGGCGAACTGAACGTCCGCCGCACCCGTGAACGCGGTCTTCAAAAATTCGAGGAGTTTAACCGCAGGCTGTGAACACGCCGTGTCAGTAGATGCCAAACGGCAAATATACGGAGACTCACCACCAGCTCCATGTCGCCCTCGCTTGCATCCCGGCTGCGCTCTTCCACACGCGCGAGCCACTGTGCCATCGGCAAAATGAGCAATTTCAGTCGCTGGCTTATGGCGCCAAACACGAAGTCCCACGCGACGGGCCGCGGGTGCACGAGGTTCACCGCGAACGGCTGTTCGGTCTTGAGCAGCGCGACATCAACGATGGCTTGTGCGACGGCCTCTGGCGGGAGCCATGCGACGCTTGCCGCGGACTCGCCCGTGACAGGCACGCAGCCCAGCGCGACGCTCGACTTGACGATCGCAGGTACCCAGTCTGTCGTGGCCCATGCGCCTGTTGATCCGGAGCCGGTGACCTGCCCAATGCGGAACGACGTCGCGCGCAGCCCTGATTTGGCGAGGATCTAATCATAATTCGTCAGTAAACGAAACAAACTAAACAGGGACATAGTACGCACCCGTTCAGAAATATACTTGCTTTCCCCATACCCGTTTCCCACGGCCACCCCAGCGTCGAGCTGCAACTCCTCGGGGAACGCCCCCTTAGTCCGATCCCACCCCTGGGCCGACGCAATCGAGGACGTGAACATGAACTTGGCGTCAGTCGCCAGCGCGAGGTCGACGAGGTTGCGTGTCCCGCAGACGTGCGGTTCAAAACTTGCGAGCGATTTATTAAAGTCCAGCGCCCAAGCATTGTGGATGATCACAGTAAGCGTCGAACGCAGCTATTCTATGTGAGCGGTGGGCAATATATCATTGAACGGGACGTACCACGGCGAGCATTTCTGGCTGCAGTCCCAGGTCCGCTCTAGTCGTGTCTCCCTCCAGAAACACGAGCTTCTTTCCCTGCAAGAGGACTACATCCAATCCCCGCTCGCGGAACGCTGTGGCTTGCCGTTCAGCAACTAGTGTGCGTCCCGGGCGATTGAATGCATACACGGTACGCACGGCGGGATGGCGGAGGAGGATGTCGAGGAGATGTGAGCCCAGTCCCCCCGTCGAGCCGGTTAGAAGCGCCACATGCTCGCTGGCCTGCTGATGGGGGGCCCTGGGCGGAAATTCCTGTGTGTATTTGGTGATCATCGCCTCTACCATTTCCGTCGCATCCACGGAAGAGCTACTATCCGTGCCATAAACTAATGCAGAAATCGCACGTGCCAGTTGTGGAATGGACGGATGCGCATACACGAAGTTCTGCGGGATATTCCGGGCGGCAGCAGCCGTCTCCTCCCCATAGTTCCGAAGCGCCGCCACGATGCGGTGGCGAAGAAACGTCGCATTGAGCGAGTCGAACCCTTGCTCGAAGAGATCGCCGCCAATATCCATCGTCTTACCGGAGAGGAAGGACGTGTGTGTAAGCAGCCACGGCTCGATATCTATTGGAGCCCATGAGGTAGGAGGCCGGACATCTGCTGTTGTGCTCGCTTCAACCGTGTCGTATCTATTTCTCTTTGGTAAAACATCAATAGAAGACGTGAGGCAACTCACAGTGCGGTGATCTGCGCGTCATACAGAGCAATTGTCGCCTTCTTGACCACCGTCCCCTTCGGCGCCCTGATCATCGGCTGCTCAGTACTCGTGACTAGGATCATCTCCTTGTACACTCGCGCAAAGGCCGGCGCAATGCCATTCGCCTCCTCGACCACGGGCCAGATTAGATTCCGGAACTCTCCTAACGCGGCAGGGTCCTGTGTGTTAACCGGCCGGGACGGCTCTACAAGGACGCCGATTTGGTTCCGCTCGCGGCCAAACATTACCGCGCCAGCAATGAAGGGGCTGGCGGTAAGGATGTCCTCCATCGGCCCCGGAACCGTCTTCTCGCCATTCGCCATGATGAGCACGTCATCCAGCCGTCCAACACTAGGATTAAAGAGTAAAACACCACTGGCAGATATTGAAAGTAGTTATGACTCTCACATGCGGTACAGGTGTGGCTTCGTTGGATGCCGCTCAAAGAGGTCTTTCGTTGCATATCCCGGCACGTCAGGGAGATTCTCGATCGCCGGGAAGTGGATTGGCGTAGTCTGAACACAGATAAATATAAAAATGGGTTTCGAACCACTATCGTGTTGCACATACCAGGAATTGACACTCAAACGACCCATCCCCAACGGCCATCCAGCGGATATTCACGCTCTCGCTGATTTGCAACCAGTTCCACTCACTCGGGAGGACGTTGGTCCTTTTGAGTGTGTTCCCAGCTGCAACTATATCCAAATCAATATCAGTACCAGAGCTTGACGGTGAACAAAACAAGACGCACATTCTGTACCCCCATATACCTGGACTAGATTCACACCCTGACTGACCAGGTAATCGCCGACCTTCGTGGCCAGCGTCCCGCCAGAATACATCTACCTCTCATCAGGCAGGCTTGCGATATGAAACTAGGGACATACCACCATGTTTAACGCTGCCAAGTTACGCACATCCTCCTCCCGCTGTGCCCATTCCAGCAAAAATGCGGGGACCGTAATAATGCCATTCGCCTTCGCCCGCCGCGCGTTGTCGAGCGCATTCTCGGGCGTGGCAGTGATTGGTGGGCGGTACTCGTCCATGGACACCGGCGGGTATATGCAAGCCGTTCCGCCGGAGAAAATCGGCGCAATGAGCTGCAAGAAAACGCCCATCGCGTGAAAGGGTGGCAGCGCCCCGACAGCGAGGCGCGGTGCGAGCTCTCCGAATTGGCGGAAAAGATCCATACCGGCAAAAGAGTGCACTGTGCGGTGAGGGAGCGGGATTGGCTTTGGAAGGCCTGTGCTTCCTAGGCAACACATCGAAATGCGTCAGCCCGGGTAAGAAATGTATCAAGAAATGCAAAGCTTACCACTTGAATGCAGATAGAGCGCCACATCAGTGCCCTTGGCCCGGCTACTCAACGCTGGGTAGGCGCTGAACGCGTCTTGTGGTGCTTCACGGCCAAGGAGCGGATACAGTTCGCCCAAAACGGGTATTTCCTGGACGTTAATTCCCGCCGCGGCTGCCTGGGACGAAATGGACTCCAAAAGCGGACCCAGGGACTTGTGCGTCGTCAGAATACGCCTGGTGTTGGTAGTGGTCAGCAGATGGACCAGTGCCACTTCGGAATTCCTTTGCGAGATCGGGAAGGGCTGAGAAGGTTTAGCCTGATTTAAGCAGTGAGGTGAGATAAGAGCGCACCACAAGACCAGCGACAATGCATCCGGCCACGATGGCCTGATACAACAGCGCGTCTGCGTGGGCAACAATGGCCACAACATCTCCAGCGCGAGCGCCTTCCCGGAAAAGGAGGTGCGCTGCTCGATGTGCAGCACGCGCAAACTCAAACCGCGAAATATCCGTGAGCGAGGCGTTGTCGTTGGCGAAGGAGTAAGCAGAGGAGAGGTTGACATTGGTGAGGTGAAAGTCTATCAGCCCACGCACATCAAGGGAACCGTCTAATGGAGGTACAAGTGCCGGTGTTGTTGTTGTTGTCGGGGAGGTTACTGCCACGGAAGACATGATAAGGTTGTGTTAGATGGCGCAGAGTCCGCGTTATATACGCAGTCAAAGCCGGCAGAAAGAGAACCCGCCAGCTGTGAGACAATGATGCGAGGACCCTAGCGGAATTAGACGCTTCGGGGAACCCTGAGTTCTCGCCGACAGATGCCAGAGTGCCGAGAATCGAGCTATTCTTGGACCCCTTTGCAGCTGTTCCTTCCCCATATTGACTAGTTTCCGGCCCTGAGCATCGACATCAGTAAGGAGCGGCACGGGTAAGCGTTGGGACCAAGTAACTCATCCATAACACGCAGCCCGTCTCCGATGACCGAACCGTCAGGTGTCGAGCCCGTGCGCATCGGACGCGCATGGATCAGCTGGAGCGATGTGGGCGGGCGGGATGCCGATGACCACTGGCGACGTGCGTGAGCAGCGTTCGAGGCGGATCGCGCGGACAGAGATGATGGAGGTTTGAGAAGAGAATGTAAAAAAAGTACGTCACATCAGTCGATCTTCTTGATGGACTCGGATGATGTCACCTCCGGTATGCATCATGCCACTCTTGCGAGGCGACCAGCGGCGTTGTTGCAACACAAAGATGTGCCACAAGCAGGCCGGACGAGGAAAGCGCCGACCCTGCCACAAACAGCCGACAGGCGCTTAAATAAGTACCGGGCCAGCCTGAGCGCGATATACCCTATTGCAAAGCAAGCAGGAAGGGCACATAGCAATGGCATATTCAGATTAAAGTAAACCGGCGTAAACATGGCACCGGGGCCTTATTTTGGAATTTCTTATTAACTCTACTGTTGTAGCTGACATCTCAGGACGGGATACCCGGATACCACTTCTTAAGCTTATTCTTATACCGCCCATTTCTCTCATCTTCTATTATCCTCGGCTTACTTTCAATACTAATTATTTAAGTTGATCACTGACACGACCGTGGCACCGCCAAAGCAATGAATGCATTGGATTGCATATCTAGCTGGTATGTGTGGGTCAGGTAGTTTCTCTGGCGTCTTCTCCCAACTCAACTACCACAGCACAGTGAACAACAGCCCCTGCGCCATATTGCCCGCCATAGGGAACGTAAGCAACTGCAATGCCACGATCCACCACCCGCGCCACAAGACGGCGCGGCCCTCCTCTGCGGCGATGGCCCGGAAACAGACGAGCAGCGAGACATACGGGGAGCTGCTCCGCGTCGCCGTGATCAGGCGCAGTGCGAAGGTTGATAACCGGCTCGGAGAGCATCAACGGGGCGTCGGGGATGTCGGCCGCCGGCTTCGTTGCCTCTGCTGCCTCCCGGCGCTGCAGAGCCAGACGCACGCGCATGAGCCGGAGGGGGGTGAGAAGAAGGAGCAGAATAATGAATGCAACAACGCCCGCCAGGATAATGAAAGGAAGGTGGCGCTTGAGCCGTTCTGCTGTCTCCTCGCGGCCGCGCGGGTCGACCATGAGCATCACAAGCATTTGAACCGGGAGGCCGCCCAGCACCGCAGTGAGCGAAAGGAGGATATTTGAGAGGGCCAGGCCCGGCGTGAGGTAGAGAAGGTAAGGCTTCTGCCGTTCGAGGGTTGAGAGAAGGGCATTAAAAGCGGGCTTGGGGGAGCGGGCGAAGAAGGGGAGATGGTGTTGGGTTGTGATTGCGCTGTGGAAGTGAGTTGGGAACATACACGTAATGGGGAGTGACAGACCGATAGGTGAGTATTTGCATCGGGAGTAGCAGCAGGACCGCCAGCAGCGGAAACACACAGATCCACACTGCGGACGAAGAATAAGCGCAGGTAGGCCAGCATTTCATGATACTCACGAATTGTATAGACGACCACGATGTACGATAGCGTTTCTCCCCCGCGCGGCGCATCAAAGAGCGACAAAATCATCTTGAATGGCATTTGCGCCAGCGGCGTTAGCATCGTTGTCAATACCGCGGGCACTTGACGGAAGTGAGCCGAAATTGCGGAAAGGGCGAGCAGACGACACACCGAGACCCTTGTAGAACCCCGCCCACCCCTTCACTCCCACTCAGTACTCGCTCCACCAGCAGTCTAGGTTGACAACATACCTCGACACGATACACCCTCCTCATGACGCCAAGGTAGCTGGTCACGACTTCATCGGCAGGCGGCGTCTGGTCATCGTCCGGAAGCTGGAGGCGGTGCGGGGTGTAGTTGGCACGGTACCGCACAAGCACGCCCAGGAAAGGCATCCCCACCGCGAAGGTGAACACTGTGGAGCTGGTGGACAGCGTGAGCAGGCGTGGTATAACGAATGGAGGTCGGCGCGCACAAGAGAGAGCTAAGCAGCTCGGCGACGAGGTCGTCAATGAAGCCCATGGTGGGAGGAGGAAAAACTGCGCACAGCCGCGCGTCACGTAAGAAGATGATTGTTGATCGGCCTCGGGCGCCGACGGCGAAACCCAATCAAAACTGGATTTCATTTCAATGAAGCCTCCAGCTAGGCCAATAGTTATATTATCAAGTAGGAAGGCTTGTGCGATAGAGCAGTCAAGTCTTAACGTCCGTTGAAGAAAAAAAAAACTCGACATCAGTCGAACGTCAGATCTGCTCAGGGGTATCAATCAACAATCTTTGAATACTTGTTTGAATAGGTCTCCTACATCTTCTCCGTCAGAAGATGGCTTAAAAATGCACACGCTGCACTCCTCGCTACCCCCCAGTACCTGTATCAGCTGGAATACTCAATCAACACTCCTTCTCTCATTCTTCGACATGATTCAAAGCAAGATTAGACAACTTGAAACGTAAGATACCAGTACGAGAGGCAAACAAAAGAATGACTGATTATCACCAAGTATCGAAGGAGTATCAGGATCAGTCAGGACTATACCCAGGCGGCAGCTCCTCTATCGCCTGTCCTTGTCCCTCAGGCTGTCGATAGCGCACCCCGCTATCCTGATGCTGCTGCACTACTGGTGGGGCCCCACGCTGCGGCTCAAGCTTGCCGGGCAGCGGTCCGGCCCCGAGCCCCGCAATACCCGCCGAGGCCGACGACGGGGTCGACAGCGCAAGCGAGGGGCTGGCAGAGTGAGACTGGGACCGCTGCGGGCTCAACGGCACGCTCCCGCTCCCGTTGTCGCTGGGCAGCGATTGCGAGCCGGGGTAGCGGAAGTCGTAGTCATACCCGGCAGAAGCAGGCGGCGTGCCAAACGGATTCGGCGTAAACTGCGCATGGTACATCTGGCTCGGCGCAACGGGTATGCTCGGGCCGCTCCCGAGAGTGCCCAAGACGCTGGCGCTGGGCGTTCCTGTTCCGTTGATGGTCCACGGCTCGGGCTGAGGCTCAGGCACCGCCTTTTCTCCCTGTGCGACACGGCGTTTCCGGCGCCAGCACCAGGCCCCCAGAAGAATGAGCAGCAGGGCGACAACGCAACCGGCGGTTCCGCCCGCGATCGCGCCAACGGGGCTCGCTCGGTGGGTCGCATTCGTGGTAGGCGTACTGCTGGCCGGCGGGAGGGCCGAATTGGTGACGAGAAACGAGCCCACGGGGAGCGGGGTATGGTCTTTGTCCCCCTTGTGTGTGATGACGAGGTTGTGCGTGGCGGGGGCAAGGCCAACAACGGATAGTATGACCGCGTTGTACTGCGTGGCGGTGCCATTTCCCGCTGGTAGACCGGCGAGCACGAAGGTGTGCGGCGGTGAGTCGTCGATGGTGAAGCTGGCCGTTGTTGAAGTGTGGGCCAGCTCGGTGGGAATGTACCCCATCAGGACCACCTCCGTGCCTGGTTTCTGCCATTAGACCCAAGTCGTGGGAAGCAAAGCGGGCCACGCACCTCGGAAATTAAGCGCCACTTGCGCCGCATTCGTCGTGGTCACATTCTGCCCGCTCCATGCCTGCCATCCCGTCCCAAAACTGACGCTCGCATCTGTATTCCGATACTCAAGCACTGCTCCGTCCACATCCGCCCCCTTTTCGTCAGGCATGTAAGTTATGCTGTCGATGTAGAACGGGCGGCCCTTGGTATGGACGGTGACCGTCAGCGTGTGCTGCCCGGGTGGGAGGCGGTCTTGCTGACAAAGCCCCCAGTTGTTTTCGAAGTAGGGAAAGGTGGCGTCACCGGTAGGGATGAGAGCGCCGTCCACGGTGCACTCCCACGCAGGGTCAAACGTTCCGTCCGCCAGCTTGGTCACAGCGATGGAGCCAACGACGCCAATGGACGTGCCTGGGCATGACTCAGCTCAGAAGCGCAGAAGGCTAGTGGAAATCCGCACCATTGAACGCAAAGCTGAACCTGCTCCCATCCGTCGTCGTAGAGTGTGTCGTGCCCTTATACACCGGCCCAAAATTGCCCTGCCCGTTGAGCGTTCCGACATCGGCGGGTGCCCAGCCAGCGCCGTAGAGGATGGTTGGAGAGGCGTCATCCACGATAATACGTCGCGGCGTCGACATTACAAGCACATGGATTGGATGGTGGTGGCGGAAGGAAGGCCGAAGGAAAGGGCGGACGGTGAGAGCAAAAACCCATGTGGTGAGGTAAGATCGGCGCCGGCGCCACTGATCGATCTGATTGGCGCCGGACGCCGCCCACTACTTGGCGCGCTGATTTGTATTGTTTGATGGTCCGCAGCACTGTTGGCTCTAGCTCTGCACAGATGTGGCAATATCTAAAGTTACTTATCTTTCCTCAATTAAGAGAGAGAGGATAAGTAATTCCAACTAGGGATCTTTAGTGCCTGCACCAAATGTTGAGACCTGGCTTCAAGCTTCCTTATGTATAGAGTAATGAATTGAGGAGGACTTCTTACAAATTTTTAGTGCTGGCACACCAGATTTGGTAAAATATCCCTTGAAGTAGAAACTGTTCTAGATTCTTCCAGAATCTAGAACCAAATCAACCTGTGGAGATGTGCCCACAATATAACTTTTTGAAACTGAGAATGATTTAGTCAAATATATACTAGTTTTAGGCAGTCTGAGATGAAAACCATCTATAGGACTGAAACCATTCCTGAAATGGCTCATATCTGCGCGCATATATTTGGTTGTGATATCATGTGCATCAAATATGGCAAAACCGTCTGTTCTGTTCCGGGTGCACGTTCTTAGGAGGAGCCTTGCTGTTATATCCCGTGCATCTTCGGACGATCCGAGGTTATCCTTGGAGCACAACAGGGTTTTTACGCGATGAAGGTATCTGAGCGTTTCCCTTCAAACAGTAATCTGCACGCAGACTCCCTCGGACCTGTACGGACCCTCCGACCATCAACTTGGATCTTTACCCATTGAAACGCAAGAAAACTAGAACACCAGCACAAACAAACTCCAACACAACACACTAAATCAGCACACAAAAACACAACAGAACACAAAACCAGGGAGCCTAACACCAAAGTACGCGGGCCGAGTCTCGGATCACTCGGATCAGACCGGATCAGAAGCGGATCACGTCGGAGTTTGAAATGGGTGGGGTAGTTAACTGATGCGCGCAAGTACGGGGGTTCCAGCTAAAGTATATAGCTGCTGCAATCCAGAAAACACGTTTAACGGCTCGGAACGATAAGGTTGGGGTGATTAGGTAAGCGAAACAACGGGCGGGACCAAGATCAACGGTGGGCGGGACGGCGGGACAGCGGGCGGGTACTCGGAACAACGGGGCGAACTGACAGAACTTCTTCAACACAAACGGCGATAATGGAAACAGCGATAACGGCGACAAAAGATAACAACGGCGATAACCACAATAAACCCGCGCAGAGCCGGGCACTCGTATTCTCTACCTATAGCCTACAAACGCTGCAAATATATACTGCTGAGGCTACAGCCTCCTCACTGCCCTCCAGCCTGCGCAAGCCGGTGTCTGGCCTGTGCCCACAGCTCACACAGCGCGTACAGCGCGACCTCTAACCCATATCGCCCTCCTGCTTACCCAATCTCGCTTACGAGCTTGGCTTCTCCGAACGTATCCGCAGGAGTTCACATATTTGTTCAGACTTGCTTTCGGCCTGCAAGATGTGTAGTCGCTCACTCCGATTTAGTGTTGTGATAGCCACTCGGTTTTGCTTTCCGTTACTTACTTTCAGTTCTTGCATGGCACTTAACACTTGCACAGCCCGACCTGAAGCCTGACAGGTCGGGGTGTGCAAGGCTCCTCTAGAGAATCACATGCCCAGAACAGAACAGATGAATTGTCAGGCCCACAAGTATGGCGGGCAGGTTCAAGTTGAACCAAAAGGGCCTGTCAAAGTGGTCTCTTGTTGGTGTTGGTGGGGTCAGGTCAGGTCAGGTTGTCAAGGCCCAATGAGTCAGTGATGCCTCTGTGCATGGGGTGAAGTGGTACAATAGGCGATCTAAGCAATGAAGTACAGTATATACTATCACACCTTATATATGCGGCCCTGCTAAGGGGTAATCGGGTTTCATGTTAGAATGCACAAATGAACTGAGAGAGGTATATACCTTATTCATCATATACATATCTATGTGTGCAAGATAAGGTACTTGACATCCACGCTCGACGGACATCACGTGCGTGACAGATGTGACTTCCCTTTTCAGGCAGATTTCATCGAGTCTCTCAGTACAGCTCAAATTTTTTTATAGAATTATAAATTTGTACTTCTAGGTGGTTTAGAATGCTACTAGGATACTCTATGCAAAATTTTGGAGAGTTTGAAATATTATCAAGTGCAAAAAGTGTCAGGAACAGCGTCGCGCAAGCCTGCACGGACCAAATCTTGAAAAATAAAGTTGGGAAACGTTCTGTGGCCGTGATAACGCTTCGAGGCCCATGCAAGCTCAGCTCCAGAGAGTCCTAAATGTCCATATCCCTGCGCAAATCGATACGACCTGTTAACATAGCTGGAAAGTATGAGTAACATGCAATCAAAAGGCTCAACAGGCACATACCGTCGCATGCAGAGTATAGGAACCTCCTCCAGTGAGTCCAGGGTATTCTTCTCCAAGTCCTCCTCCTTCGAAGACTCTGGCTTGGTCCGATAAATGCGCTTGGCATAGCCCCAAACCATCTCAATGGGGTTCAGTTCACAATGAAATTTGGGAAGGAATAAAACTTCGACGCCCGCCTCTGAGCATGTGTCCTCGAGTATTGATTTGACTGCAGCAAAGTCGGGCTGGTTGAATAATATCCGTCGGCAGCAGCATTGAGCGCTGTCTGTTGTATCCTCGCACTTGAATTTGGGGCATTCCGTCCGAAGATCAGCATATTGAGAAAGGCCACGTTCGATAAGCAGCTGTCTCATGCCTTTGAATTTGCCGTGTATCGTTTCATCGGGGTGGTCGTCCGCATAATAAAGATCCTGTGGGGTTTTGTCAGGGCCATAATACGCACCAGTCATTCGAATTTTGTCCTTGACAAGACGCCCCTGTGGATCGTAGACAAGCTGGCCGTTGACGCGTCGATTGACCTCTACAAGGAGGTTTGCATCTGGATGCTTTGAGTTCTTGGAGCCTGAGGTGAACTTAGGCATTGCGCGGGCTGAAAGCGCTCCTTCAGCTCGTTTCCGATGAGTTGTTGCATTATCGTAGATGAAAATGTGGTCGTAGTCAGGCCAAGCGTCTTGTACGATTGCCAGAGCCTTCTCTGCTTGCTGCACAACCTTGACAGCACTGAAGTATCCATCGCGATTCTTGCCCGGTCGTATAGCCTCGCGAGCGCGTGCACCGGTAAGTGGATGGCGAAGCCAGCCAAACTCAGCTGAGAAGTAGTCGGCGACCATATAGGAAACACCTTCGCCCTTTCGATAGGGAACAGCCGCTGCATCTTTGTGATACCATGTCTTGCGGCGCCGATCGTGCGCATAAAAGATACTCTCGTCGTGGTACCAAATAATGACACGTCGTCCTGGAGCAAGTGCAGTTTCGATCGGCTCTCCAGTTTCACTGTCGAATGGGTGAACTCGGCGGTTGAGCTCAAAGAGTCGAGGAAGATAAACTTGGTTGCGGTACTGAACGACATCAGCACGTTCATGACCGTCAACGTATTGTCCTTTCTTCGAGTAGGTCCACCTGAAACCACGAGATTAAATGACTTATAAACGAGTAGGACACACCCACCTATACCCCAGTGCTGTCAAATATCTCTGCGCGGTTCGAAGCGAGATATCGCGGTCAATTTCGTGTCGTTGACGGACTTCGGGATCCAGGAGGTAGGCGCGAACCTTCTCGGCCGTGATTTCTGTCCCTAGCGATTGGATATGCAGTCGAAGCTTGTTGGCAAGATCTTCGTCTGCTAACATACTCGTTGTCCATCTGCCGTATGGGTTTAAATTGAGGATTTCACGGTTGACGATGTACTGCCTTGTGAGTCGGGCAAGAACCCGTGCGCAATGCCTTCCTCGATTGAGCATAATGGCCGCCATGGAAGCTGATTCTCCCCAGTTTCCGTAGGTTGTTGAGCCTGGGTTCACGTAGAAGTTGAGCATCGCTTGAATGCCCCACATTCGATTGCGCGTAAACGGCGAGAACCCTGGGTCGCGGTATCCGACACCAGCGCGTCCAAATATGAGATTCGTAGGTGAGCCCCGATGATTTCCGCGTGCTGCAATATGAATATCGCCGGCAGCAAGCTTCGCCTCAGCAATCAACGGTGCTTCTCGCAGCTTTCCCGGGCGTGTCGAATGTCGGGACATGCGCTCGATAAAGCTTTCAGGAGGAGGTGGCCGAGGGTATCCTTCGTCATGGAAGAGTAGGCAGGGATTTATAGCCAGTAGTTCATCTTCGTGCTCTAGCGTGAAGAGATCATCAAGTATGGGCTCGTCAAGCTCGAAATCCCAGATGAATTCAGCGAAGTCAGGTGTGGTTGGCAGCGTGGGACTGGTGGGAAATGGTCGTGGAGATGAATAGTCCGTGGGAGATGGAATCAGAGTGGGACTCGATGAGAGGAAAGCAAATGTGTCGATAGAAGCCGTGTCATTGAAGTCTACATCGTTGTTTAGCTCGTCAGTCGATTTGGGAAGTCTCCAGAGTCGCTCAGTGAACGCTGGAGCCTCTGTCGGAGTAGCGTAGTCACCATCGACTCGGAATTGAGACACGAGGAACGGATCTGTGACAGGACACGTCGATTTGGTGTCCATGCGCGACGCGCGTCGTTCGGTGTCTGAACGCGTCAATTAGTGTCAATTTCACGCGCTAAACACGTCCACGCACCTCGTTCTCCTTGTCCTCTTGGCGCTTCCTTCTTTTCCTGGGTGAAAACACGGATGCCAGCTTCTGAGGACTATAGCTGATCTCCGCGAAGACGCGTTTGACGGTTCCGGCTGCTGACCGTGCAAGACTATTGAGGCGGTTCTGAACAATCACCTCTGCCTTCTTCTTCTTCGCCTTTGACACAGCTGGCATGGTTCCGAAGTCAGCGGTCGTCGATACCGGGTGGTCTGAGTGATGGATCTCACATTTGATAGATTCTGACCCAATAATGTTTCAATTGGGCTGATTTTTGGTCGATACCTAAGTCAAGGCTATATCTAGCTATCTTTACACCGAAATCATAATCTATAAAAATTTGTGCAAACCCGGGCCCTCCTTCCCAATTTGGTGAAAGTCACATTTGATCAGCTGATGTCCGTCGAGCGTGGATGTCAAGTACCTTAAGGGTAGAGTACAAGTCAGGTAGAGTTTGTGTCAGGGTGCACCAACCCTGACCCTGACCCTGAGACCCTGACCTATGCTCTACCCTACTGACTTTTGAACCTGGCCAAGCCTGGACCCTTTCAAAATTAACCAGAAAGGTTCAATAGGCAGTTATAATTTAACAATTTACCATCTAAATCTCATTTTTGTAATTTTTTTTTTTTGAAAATCAAGTTATTTATATGACTCAATATATTATAATTAGTGAACTGTATTGACCATGCTCTAGATCTTGAGAGACAGGCTACATATACTATACCTGGCACAAGTGTTACATGCATGCAAATGTGTGTACCAGCTATATATATAGTGGAAGTACATATGATCAGTATCTGGTCATAGTAGTCTTTTGGCCCAGTTGGATTTTGTGTTAGCACTTCTGCATGGATTTCACAACAAGATAATATAGCAAAATACATAAATTATTGTTCTAAACATATCTTCTGCTTCCGTGTCTGTGTCAGGGTTCGGGTCGGGCCAACGGGCCCTATACGGCCCATCGGGCCCTCACCACCCTTAGAGCCCTAGGGCTTGACAAGCCCTCATAATTCACAAGCTCAAAGCAATGAGCAACAACACTAATATCCCAGAGAAGGGACATAATCACGGATCGCGCTTTAGTCAGCCATCAAGCCATCATGACCCGCCATCAGGGATCATGATGCGCCGCCGGACGCCCTTGACAGCGGGCCCAATCGGCCCCAGACAACCACAGGGATCAGGAGGGAGCTCCTTACTGTTGCATTGCCAAACACTCCTTAGTGTCGACTTTGGCATGGCTCCTTTCCAGAGGAATGGTCCCTGGGCTCCTAGCGGAGCGACCAGGGACGACCAGAGACATCCCCTGCTCCCTTCTGATCGACCCTCAGCGGGCCCGATCGGCCCCTAGCGCCCACAGTATATAAAGACTACAGTATTACTCCTGTACCTTAGGTTTAGCATTGAAGTCTCTTTCCTTGAACCCTACTCCGGCCTGGTCCCTTCAAGCGGGGTTGCTGCGACGAATCCCCATGCAAGGGGTGTCCAGGCAACCCCTGACGCTCCAGGCTCGCTTGCCTCATTGACCTGAGCCCTTGGTTGGGCTGGGCAGCCCAGGCTCTTGTCTCTTATGTTCACTCCTTGTCCTAGCCACTTCTTCTTGCTCTCTGGCCAAGCTCTGGGTTCCCCTGGTACGGGGCGATGGGAGGGTGCGGGCCCGATCGGGCCCGCATGTCACGCGTCACACCGCGCCGTCACGCGGTGTCTAGGAGCCACAGCGACTCGTTACTCCAGGAAAGGAGATATGTCGCCCCTTGGACTGGCAACCCTTCTCAAGCGCTCCAGGGGTCTCGGGCCCGCAGCCCCTGTTGCGGGGCGACTCCCCTCGACCCCCCGAACCGTCGGGTGTGACCGCGTTACGTCACGCCCCGCCCGAACGGCTTGTTCAACTGGCCCCGCCTATGCCTTGCCCTATGTCTTGGGCACCAACTCTACTAGGCAGCGATCTTTGGCTATGGACTCGTTCCCTTCAGCAGGGGTAGGAAACTCTAGACGACTACTCGTATCCTGTGACACCGCTGTCACACAACGTGGCAGCGGGGCGTCTCGAGTCGCCCCGAGCTGTCCCTACCCTGCTCTCTATTGCAGTAGTGGCACCATCTACGCTGCCTGGTTGCCGACCACCCAGCTATGGGGGTTGAACCATCTTTCCCACACTTGTCAGACTGGCAGGAGACCGTCGCGTGGGCCCGGGCCGGCCCCGTTCCTGACAGAATGCTAAACCTCCTTTACTGTCCTTCTTTCAAGTGTGGGGCGCTCTCTGGAAAGCTCAAGTTCTTGGAGCAATCCTTTCTGTGCCGAACGACCACTCTATGTGTCGGCACTTCGTCCAATGGGTTGAGGAGTTATCCCTTTTGTCTTGAAACTCCTGGGAGCCAACAACTTTTGCTCCATTCGTCTTATGGGTTGAGGAGTCCGCCCCTTCGCGTTAAAACTCCTGGGAACAGGTCAAAACCTGCTTCACTTGTTCACTCCGGTTAAGGAGTTCTTCAATACCTTCTGCGCCTAACAACGACGAAACGACCCGATTCGAACCTTCGATCACCGACAACGACAAGGGACCGAATTAACGGGCCCTTTTGGTTCAAATCTACCCCGCTCGCCATACTCGCGGGCCCGACAATCCGTCTGTTTTGTTCTTGGTGTGCGTTCTTAGGCGACCTTGCGCGGCCCGACTCGAAGTCTGGCCTGTCAATCTACGGGCCCGATGAGCCGTTGGTCCGAACACAAACTTTTGTTTCTTTCGCCCCTACTTGGCAAATTCTTTCCCTATACCCTCTTCTTTCGAATTCTCGTACCCTGGCGCCGAGGTAAGGAATATCGGCTCCCCCAGATGTCGACTTCTGGGCCGCAACTTCTATCTGCCATGGGGCGTCCACTCCGGTGAACGGCGCTTGAGGCACGGGAAACGTTGAGTCCGTCCCAACCTCTATAGCAGCCAAGGAGAGTGGAAAACCACTCTGGGAGCGCTGGGGGAAGAAGCAGACCCAGGCTCTTTTCACTAGCAAGAGACCCGTCCCATGTGCCCGAAACGTGACCCATTTCCCAACCGTGGGAAATTTTGTTCAAAGGCGCTGGCCTTCAACCAGACAAACCCAAAACCGTGCGAATTGATGTTCAAACCCTCATACCACTAGGATGATGGGATCGACGACCTGAATCGGCCCGATTCGGCCCACATCGGCCCGAATCGGCCTGACGGGCCCTGACGAACTGACGGGCCAAATCTGCAACAAAACAGCGATGACCCCTGGAACGGGGTGGCTGCACACTGGCAGCAAAAAACCGGGGACAATAACACCCCAAAACTGGAGGCTGGACAGAGGGATGGCTAGGCGTCGTCATAACGACCCCATCGCCTCTGGGCTTCGACTGGCAACGAGATTGAACATTGCATATGCGCGGACGCACTGGACCGGACCGGGCTGAAACTACGCAAACAGGAGAAGCTACGAAAGGTCTAAAAACGCGCAGCCAATGCTCAGCATGTAATTGGAAGCCAGTGTTCGGAAAATGTGAACAACCAAACACCCCGAGAAACCGGGGCGACCAAGCCACGCCGACTCGAGATGAGTCGTTCCAAGGGAGGGGGCGATGTCACGGATAAGACCCGGCCCGTCCGCTCCGGGCGCTGGTGTCGGGCCATCGCGGGCCCCGTAGCACGCAGCACGTGACGACAGGGAACATGCGCCCCAGTAGGAGGAACGCACACGTGGGAAGCACGTGACCGAGAACGACGCGTCGAGCCGTCGCCGAGCCCAACTCGACACAAGGCGATAGGGGAGGAGTGCTAGGAGGTTAGGAGTAGCGCCTGGCCCGCAAGGGATGTCCGATCGTCCCCTCTGCGGCTAGGAACGGGAGAAATGGGGGAGACTCAGAAGCGTCTGGATGTCCGATCATCCCTTGCAAAGGCGCGCCTGGGGCAACAGGCGATGGGGAGGAGTGCTGGGAGGTTTGGAGCAGCGCTTGGACCGCATGGGGTGTACGACCGCCTCCTCTGCGACCAAGAACGGGATACGGGGGAGACTCAGAAGCGTCCGGATGTCGGATCATCCCTTGCAAGGGCGTGCCTGGGGAAACAGGCGATGGGGAGGAGTGCTGGGAGGTTAGGCGCAGCGCCTGGACCGGATGGGGTGTACGACCACCTCCGCTTCGGCCAGGAACGGGGAACGGGGGAGACCCAGGAGAGCGTCAGGATGTCTGATCATCCTTTGGGAGGACGCGACTGGGGCCTGGACGCGAGAGAGGAATCGACTAAGCCCTTCGACGAGAAGGCATCTACATGCGAATGACGAAATTTTTTTTTCTCAACAAATCGGAATTGAATACGGAAATCGGACGATAAAACTCGGGACGAGTTTCGCCTAGTGGGGGGTGATGTCAGGGGTTCGGGTCGGGCCAACGGGCCCTATACGGCCCATCGGGCCCTCACCACCCTTAGAGCCCTAGGGCTTGACAAGCCCTCATAATTCACAAGCTCAAAGCAATGAGCAACAACACTAATATCCCAGAGAAGGGACATAATCACGGATCGCGCTTTAGTCAGCCATCAAGCCATCATGACCCGCCATCAGGGATCATGATGCGCCGCCGGACGCCCTTGACAGCGGGCCCAATCGGCCCCAGACAACCACAGGGATCAGGAGGGAGCTCCTTACTGTTGCATTGCCAAACACTCCTTAGTGTCGACTTTGGCATGGCTCCTTTCCAGAGGAATGGTCCCTGGGCTCCTAGCGGAGCGACCAGGGACGACCAGAGACATCCCCTGCTCCCTTCTGATCGACCCTCAGCGGGCCCGATCGGCCCCTAGCGCCCACAGTATATAAAGACTACAGTATTACTCCTGTACCTTAGGTTTAGCATTGAAGTCTCTTTCCTTGAACCCTACTCCGGCCTGGTCCCTTCAAGCGGGGTTGCTGCGACGAATCCCCATGCAAGGGGTGTCCAGGCAACCCCTGACGCTCCAGGCTCGCTTGCCTCATTGACCTGAGCCCTTGGTTGGGCTGGGCAGCCCAGGCTCTTGTCTCTTATGTTCACTCCTTGTCCTAGCCACTTCTTCTTGCTCTCTGGCCAAGCTCTGGGTTCCCCTGGTACGGGGCGATGGGAGGGTGCGGGCCCGATCGGGCCCGCATGTCACGCGTCACACCGCGCCGTCACGCGGTGTCTAGGAGCCACAGCGACTCGTTACTCCAGGAAAGGAGATATGTCGCCCCTTGGACTGGCAACCCTTCTCAAGCGCTCCAGGGGTCTCGGGCCCGCAGCCCCTGTTGCGGGGCGACTCCCCTCGACCCCCGAACCGTCGGGTGTGACCGCGTTACGTCACGCCCCGCCCGAACGGCTTGTTCAACTGGCCCCGCCTATGCCTTGCCCTATGTCTTGGGCACCAACTCTACTAGGCAGCGATCTTTGGCTATGGACTCGTTCCCTTCAGCAGGGGTAGGAAACTCTAGACGACTACTCGTATCCTGTGACACCGCTGTCACACAACGTGGCAGCGGGGCGTCTCGAGTCGCCCCGAGCTGTCCCTACCCTGCTCTCTATTGCAGTAGTGGCACCATCTACGCTGCCTGGTTGCCGACCACCCAGCTATGGGGGTTGAACCATCTTTCCCACACTTGTCAGACTGGCAGGAGACCGTCGCGTGGGCCCGGGCCGGCCCCGTTCCTGACAGTCTGTAACCTGTGGGTCAACCCAGACCTGGTTGAACCCTATATCCAGAAGGGGCAGGGTTTATTAAGGTCAGGGTCTGCCTTTCAAGACCCAGACCCAGCAGCCCTAGTACCAACAGTAATGTTATTAAAGCTATTATAATCAATATGAGACAGAGGGTAGAGGCGGTAGGAAAACAAAGGGTACATCAGGCTTTAGATCAGGCTATGCAAGTTTTTTCAATGAAACATACACCTGGAACAGAACAGATGCTGAGTTAAGTTGAGTTGTTATGGCCTAGTGAGTCATTGATGCCTTCGTGTATAGAGAGAAATCAAGTCAACCTTAGTCAGGTTTAAGTAGGGTCAGGGTCAGGGTCTAAGTCAGGATCAGGGTCTGAGTCAAGTTAAGCAGACCCAGATCTGTACCTGTGCTCTATCCTACAAGTGGTAAGCAGTGAACAGGAAGGGGAAATTCACAACAATATAGTGCTAATACTATTGGAGCCAGGTCAGCCCTAAAGTAACAAAGTTGATATTTTAGGAGTATTTCATGTTCTGTGAGTCAACTATTGTAAATTTTGAATAGGTTTGAACTGAACATTTACTCAATCAATAAAGCTCTACTACTATGTGCAATATGGAGTCATTTGGTTGACTTTGAATTTTGAAGTCAATTCAATAAACCTTGACTTGTAGTGAATGTCTGTGTCAGGGGATGAGGGTCCAGGTGCCTAGTTGATACCAAAGCCGGGGGAATAGCCCCACAGCCAACTACTTAAGTACAGGGCTATCTGTACATGGACCAGTCACATGATCGGTCACAGCCGTCCCATCACATGCTCCCCTTACAGTCTGTGGTTTTGTAGCCAAGCATATCAGGATTGAAATCAAGTTTGCAGAACTTTAAAATACCTTTCCGACTATATCTGACTTTTGGAACCATCAAGTAATTGGGTTAACATATGACCTTACCACTGTTTACTGTTTTGAAATCTCAGGGTTGGGTCAGTAATTTGCATTTTCTGACTCAACTATGGACTTTGAAGCCTAAGTCTAAACTGAATAGTAACATGTATCAAAGGTCCCTACAATCTAATAACATTTAGTAGAAAAGTTTGTTTAAAGTCATTACAAAGTTGTTATCCCATTCATGCTAATTATGTATTTAAATATGTAGCTGGAGACTGAACTTATAGGGTCTACCCAGAGGTCAGACCTGTAGGGTTCAACTGACTTGAGGGTTGACCCTCAAGTCACTGATATACATACAATATCTCTTACAATTTCTCCAATATATATACTGATAGTTTTAATCACAATTTTTGGCATGAATAAATTTGAGATTTCAACAATAATTTTATTGTACTGTAAACCTTCAGTTTCAGCATTTCATCTCAGACTGCCTAAAGCTAGTATATATTTAACTAAAATCATTCTCAGTTTCAAAAAGGTATATTTTGGGTAAATCTCCACAGGTTGATTTGGTTCTAGATTCTGGAAGAATCTAAAACAGTTTCTACTTCAAGGGATATTTTACCCAATCCAGTGTGTGACCAAATACAAATATGATACATGATTAAAAGTTGAAAGGCCATGTCAGGGTGGGCAGTGTGGTAGCTATAAGGCCCCGGACCTGACGTGTGGAAAACTCCTTAAGTATGGGGAAAATACTGAGTAGGGGAAAGGCCAAAAAAGATGAAAAAAATGTTGATGGCAAGGTGCCAAGAAAGATACAGAGTTTGACAGCATGGATTTTATTAAAATGAGAGGACAACTTGTAAACCACTGCTGTTTTTTAAAAATGTTAATATTCTAATTACAAGGGATCTTTTAAAAAAAAACCCCGTATATGCCTGATCATTTTATTGGTATCATATTGGCGGGTTTTACCATGTATCATATCTGTATCACTGACATCAAACTAGGCCATCAGAGGTCCTATTCACCTTAAAAGTGTAGTTTAGCATCTAGAAGTGCTTCCAGAGGCTAAAGAGGAGAGTGGCAAGGCAGTGAAATCCACATTAAAGCTAGCTAGACACTAAGTCACTGAGTAACCACAAGTCAGACTGGTGCTGACCCAAATCCATACCCATACAGCTCAAACCTGCCAAAATGTGTGGGTCAGCCAGAACCATGCTCATCCCTAGTCAGGGTGGATTGTTGTGAAAAAGTTAGCTAAAAATTTGAAACTTTTGAATACATTTTTTTCTGAGTGAAAATTTGAACTTTTTTCTATAATTTTTGCTAAGGGGGTGTCGAGATGCTGCTCATCACAGACATGGGGTAGGGGGGGGGGGCTCCCAGAAGGCCCTTAAAAAACTTTTACTATATAAAAATTTGGGGCAGTTCTGATAGGTCTGAGGTTGGCTTTGCACTACATTTGTACTATTTTGGCATAGAATACAAAGTGGATATGCAAGATGCCTACTACTTTCCTATGTGAAGGCTTTCAACACCTTACTTGGGGTGCAGTGTGACGGCAGTATGACTGGTGTCATAAATTTATCATTGATTACTCTGTGAAGGCTCAAGTCATATATATGTATCATAAGTAATGGTATTTTAATAAATTTAACTGGAAACATAAATTTTATCACCACTTTTGATCCCATCATTTGGTCACATGATGAGCGATCATGGGAATATATTACCCAATATGGTAAGGGAGGGTCCCCGGAGGTCCTTTAAAAAGTTTTCAGCAGTATATCCATTTTTCGAATAATGACACCCCCCCTTGACTTTTGCCTGAAAAAAACTTGACGTTCTTTACCTAATGATCACTAAGAAGAATGTCAGACTATATATAGAGAAACAACTAAGGTATAGGCCATGCACGATCCACGACCCCCACGTGAGTGATGCGCCACATCTATATTGGGAAATATCTGCTAAATTTCATCCATTCGACCACTTCTAGCCTGAATTGGGTCAATCGCCGCCATGAATCGATAGATATTGGTGCCTAAGTACTATATATGTAAAAATAATCGTGAAAATACAAGAACTGATGACGGAGTTTGCCATTTACTACCCGAAAACGCGGATGCGCCAAAGCTTGTCTGGCGGCGTTGCTACAGGGCAATTTTCTGCTCTATGCCTCCACCAAAGGCCCATATCCGTGCCAGAACGGCCAATCTTCCCTCTGCTCCGAGAACACCCAAAAAGAAGCGGACCCATTCCGTGCTTACACCGCAGACAAGATCGCGTCATTCAAAGAAGACACGCGTCAAACGCGTCGAACACGTCGAGAATGATGAGAATATAGAAGACGTGAGTGGCACACAGCATAGATGAGACTTTCTGACGAAAATCAGGCCTATCTTGACACGTCTTCCCCCTTGAAACCCCTTGGCGACGATCCCTTCCTAGTGACTGGTCAGCCTGCGCCTATCACCTTCCAATGTGAAGGCTTCACGAGCCAGCCACCCACTGGTGCCCCCGAGACCTTTATGTTTACTACTGAGCTGTTTGAGGATGTCGACGAGGAACTTAATTCAGAAGACGAGGACTTGGCATTTGTTAATCCCGAATTTGACGAGCTTCTCACTTGCGCTCCTGGAACATTTCCCTACGATGGGTACCCGCGTCCAGCTCCACCATTGGAATATCTTGCAAGAATGAAAACTGCCGAACGCCAACGTGTGGTATTCTCTGCACCCAGCGTCACTGCTGCCCATGATGCACTCGTGGACTTGATGCTGTTGATGAAGGGTGAAATTCGTGGTCCCAACAGCAAGGGCTACAAGAAGCCCAAGTTTGACACATATGTTCGCGCAAGACTGGAGGGAATGCGTACTCTGCTGTCGATATACACGTCACCCAGATCAACAACATATGAAGACTGGGGTGAGTCAGCGATGCAGGCGGCGATTGCTGTTGGTCGGGGTAAGAACTGCGCGAGGGTATTTGCCGAGCTTGCGCGTTTATCGAAGATCGACAAGTTCTTCCTTGTAATCCCTATGGGAAGTCAAGCAAACCAATACTGAACAACGAAAGTCTTGATGCCGAAGTGCGAGCAGCATTGCGTGGCCAGGAAATAACGGCGGAGAAAACCCAAGCATTTGTGAACCGAGAAGACATCAGAGAAAGATACAAGATTACCTCGGCTATTAGCATTCGCACTGCACGCCGATACCTGATCAAGCTTGGTTTTGCGTACGTGTTGCATGTTTGAAGACATTCTTCAAGACTGACTACAAGCAGTTATGGATATGCAAAGAAGGGCCAGTATTCTGACGGGCATGAGAGGGAAGATGTTGTGGTGTATCGAGAAGAGACGTACCTGCCGACACTCAAAGATTTTGAAGAGCGCTCCTACATCTACCACGCCGATGGCACCATCCAAGTCCCTCGTTTACCGCCAGGAGTCCGACCCACATGCATATGGTACCACGATGAATCGATCTTTTACGGCCATGACCGACGACGGAAGCTTTGGCAGGATGTGACGGCGGGGGCAAAACCATATCAAAAGGGAGAGGGAGGATCGTTCATGGCTGCCGACTATTTCTCTGCCGACTTTGGATGGTTGCGAGGGCTGGAGGGTGAGTCAGCAAGACGGACAATGTGCCCAGGAAAGAACAGAGACGGTTACTTTAGTGCAGCGGATATCGAAGAGCAAGCGAGAGCTGCTTGCGCAATCGCCACAACACGGTGGCCAGAATTTGACCACATCTTCATTTACGACAATGCGACCACCCATCGAGCTCGGACTGCTGGTGCGTTGACAGCAATGGGAATGCCCAAGTTTACTTCGGGCTCGCGTGCAATTGAGGCAGAAGAAGAGGGCAGGGATGGTGGAGAGAAGACCAAGAAGCCGCGAGCTCCAAAGAAAACCAAGCCAGCTGGAGGAGGGAATGAGACACGAAAGAAGAAACCGCCGAAGAAGACCAAACCTCCCAAGGACCCAAAAGATGCCAACTTCTTGGTCCAGGTCAACAAACTCAACGAAGACCAGACCATCATGCACGACGAGCACGGTGAACGCGTCAAGGAAGAGATCCAAATGACTGGTGCGACGTTCGCCGACGGCAGTCCACAGTCTCTCTATTTTCCCACCGATGTCGAGAAGTTCGCTGGTAAATTCAAGGGCATGGCGGTTATTCTGGAGGAGAGACGTTTGCGTGGGGACTTGGGAGAGCATTTGACGAAGGAGGAGCTTGCAGGAAAAGTTGCCCAATGCAAGAAATTCAAGTGCCCCAAAGTTGATGCGGGTAGACAGACGACATGCTGCATGCGTCGAATGCTGTTTGACCAGCCCGATTTCGCCAACGTCCAGTCATGCCTAGAGGCAGCCTGCTCGCCCTTCAACGTCACAATCCTCTTCCTTCCAAAATTCCACCCAGAGCTTAACCCCATCGAAATGGTGTGGGGATTTGCCAAGCGCGTGTACCGGCAGTACCCTGAATCGTCTGGCGATGAAGCATTAGAGCGGAACACACTGACAGCGTTGGATAGTGTACCGTTGGCCTCGATGCGAAGGTTTGTTTTGCGTGCTCATCGTTTTGCCGACGCTTATCGAAAAGGACTTGATGGCGCACAGGCCGCATGGGCAGTAAAGAAGTACAAAGGGCATCGTATGCTTCCCCCAGAGTTCAGAGCTGAGCTTGAAAAGGCAGAAGCCAAGGCCAAGGGTACACAGAATATCAAGTAGTCATTGTTGCACGAACTCCGTCATCAGTTCTTGTATTTTCACGATTATTTTTACATATATAGTACTTAGGCACCAATATCTATCGATTCATGGCGGCGATTGACCCAATTCAGGCTAGAAGTGGTCGAATGGATGAAATTTAGCAGATATTTCCCAATATAGATGTGGCGCATCACTCACGTGGGGGTCGTGGATCGTGCATGGCCTATACCTTAGGACAAAAATTTCAAGTTTTTGCCAAGAGAAAATTGGGAAAAAAAATTCAAGGTGTTTTTCAACATTTTTGCTAGTGAAGTGTTTCCAATTTTTGATCAGCAAAAATTGTTGCACAAATGATCAGTTTTCTTGTCTAATTTTTTACTTGTGTGATTGAAGCCGAGACAAAGCAGCCGTACTTTAGACAGTCAAAGCCATGACCACAATCATCCGAGCGGGTGGAACACATGATTAGGCGCTATCGCCCCTCTTCGTCCGGATCCCCTCCGCACCATCCCGCAGCTGCGCTAGTAGGTCGCGGAGCCGCTGGCGGAGCTTCTTTACCATATCATCGTCATCGGGGCTCGGAGGTGGCTGTGATGCGCATTAGCGCGGTAGGCGCCAAGGAGGAGAGTAAGTACCATCTGGTCGAGCAAAAACTGCTCTATTCCGTGAGGCTGACTAGGGAATACGATATCAACGTACCTCCGCCTCATCGATGGTCTGGCGGCGTCGTCAACCAAAGTCTCCTCGCAAAAGTGCTTGCAACGCACAAGTATGATCGGCCCACTGAATCATCCGTCATCCCCGCCGCACATTGGTCAGAATACAGGCACTCACCGGTTCATCGTGGTGGTTGTGGTGAGAGAAGCAATCTGCGGCTGTGTAGCTGTACGGCATGCGCCGATCGCCATACAAGGATCATGATCATCATGATATAGCTTTCATCCGTTGCACAGCTTTTCCCTCCTTGACCCTTCCGCTCATGTCGTCCGGCGCTCAAAGTCCAGCTATCCTCCCGGGACCCGCACCCCCCGATGGATTAAAATTCATTCAATAGCCTCGAGGCGGTGACTACGGCAACCCGCCGTTGATGGCTTCCCGCCAACAACGTGCACAGAACACGACCGACACTCTTCTGCGCGACGGGTTCCTTCAAGTCACCGGCGTGTGGCTTGGCGCAGACTTGGCTTCGCCTTGAAACCCCATGGTCTGTTTATAAACGGGCCTAGAGGCGACGACCGCCATCTTCCTCTTTTTTCTCCGCAGTTTTCTCTTTTTCTTCTCTTGCTCACGATGGCTGGTCCCCGTTCCCTTCTCCTTCTCCTTGCCCTGCTCCTTTGCGTCGCGGTATCATCCTCGCTGGCCAGCCCCGTCATGCCCCGCGCAAGCGCCAACGGCAGCCGTGCCTCCGCTGCAGACCTCGCCGCGTACCTGAAGGGGCACAGCACGATCCGCGCCAAACACGGAGCCAAGGCGCTCACCTGGAACAACACACTCGCGGCGGCGGCGCAGAAGTGGGCGGACGGCTGCCAGTTCAAGCACTCCGGCGGAACGCTCGGGCGCTTTGGGGAGAACCTCGCGGCGGGCTCGGCACCGTTTTCGATCGCGCAGGGGATCAAGGCTTGGACGGACGAAGCGCGTGAGTCCTTTTTTCCGTGCCAGGTGAGGCAACTGAATGTCGTTTTCTGCAGCGCAATTCAATGCAAAGGACCCGAAGCCCTCCCATTTCACACAGGTGGTCTGGAAGGGGACGACGCAGGTTGGATGTGCGGTACAGACGTGCACAGGGATATTCCCGCCGCAATTCGTGCGCATTAAATATCTTTGGCCGCGCCATTTTGTTGACCTGCCTCTTGCAGCCCGCCGCACAATTTTATGTGTGCGAGTATTCCCCGCCGGGTAACGTCATTGGCCAGTTTGGGTATGTTCGTTCGTATAGCCCCGACAAGTTGACGATTGGCATATAGGAAAAATGTGCAGGCTTGAGGTCTTCCGTCGATCCAAACACTTTCGTGTCTTTAGTCCAATCTTTTCGCTCTGTGTAACCACCCCCCTATTCATCGGTGAGTTCTTGCCATCGGACTTCAATGTCCTTCCGTGATCTTGTCTACGCGGGATCTCGTCAGAGCTTTATTGGGCATGCCGCTAAATGAGCTACAACGTTGAGATGAGAGACACAAGACCAAACCACACTTGCTCTAAACAAATATCTCAACCTCCTCCCACTCCTCCTCCCCAACCGCCTTCTTCTCCATGAAATGTCGGTCCTGGACATGCGGCACAATCGCCCTCCGCGACCACAGCTTCACGACATCTGGATACTGTTCCGCACAGCGCCGGCAGCGAAGCGTATTGGCATACACGCCCTCCACAATTTTGGCGCGCTGCCGCTTGGGCGGGTCGGGTAGCGCAATAGGAACGAGATGCTCTCCCTCTATAGGCTCGGCGACGTTGTGTCTATAGCGTGGAATCAGAAAAGCAAGTCAACTGGCGGGGCGGACGACGCACGGGCCATGCACCAGATGCTCCCAGATAACATCCCGTCGGCCCAGCCACGGCGGATACATGTCGCAAAGCGTGCACGCCCACATTAACGCCTGGTCGTACGACTCCGGCCGCTCCTGGCGCCTAATATCGGCCGCGGCGCGCGGGCTCAGTTGGCGCCAGGCGGGAGCCGCGTCGCAGTGTTGCGTCAGGTCGTGGTCAATCTACCATCACCTGAGTGAGTGACGCAGGTAAGGCGAAACACGCACACATTCGCGCCATGTCAGCGCCACCCGCTTCTTCGCTGTCGGACATGTTTCGCACACAAACCGCTCGTTGAGCGCCGTCTGCTTCATATCCTTGATGACCACTATTGCCGGCTCGTTAAAACCCACCAACCCCGCAAGATACTCTGCCGTCGCGCGTCCCCTAACCGATACTTTGATCCGGTTATACCCGTCATATGGGTCTTCGTTGTCAGGCGCGTAGAACGGGCGATGCGGGGTCCCACGGCACCAATGCAGCGCCGCCTGTGTCTCCTCCCATCCTACGACAGAGGCATCATATAACCCTTCGGCGCGGCTTTGCGCGACGGTGAAGACGCTGCCGATCAGCTCGAGTGTGGCGACATCTATATTCGTTTCGCCCGTTGGACTTGCGGATAAGTTTGGCTGCAGGCGTTGCGCCAGGCGTTTACGAAGGTCCTCCCAGAGCGCCTTGGAGAATTCCGCCGCGGCAGAGTCCTCCAAAATCTCACGTAGCCTCGAGTCGTCTCGCTTGAGCACGTCATGCGAGGGGTTGTTGCGAAGCGCCACGAGGGGCGGGTATGCAGTTGCGAAGGTGCACGGTGGGGGAACGGTCCTCGTAACACCTGCCCGTATGGGAGTAGCGGTGCGCAGCATAAGGAAGCTCGCCGACTGGATGACCATCAGTCGGTTGGCCAGCAGCCGATGACGCTCGAGCGCCAGCCGCTCTGCTTGGACTCTTAGAACCGTCGGAATGATATGCGGACGGGCGAGGTGCCACACTAAAAATATGTTAGAGTTGCTTAGACAGTGGTTCAACTCACGTGTAGATGTCAAGCGTGGCTTGCGCTCAAAAACCAAACATGCCCACACGATCTCTGATACCGCCACATTGTACACGTCCTTCTCGGAGAATCCCTCCTTCATCAGTCGTTTCGGGACGCTAGATGCACTTCAGATATACTTGACATTGGCAATATGGAGACAGCATACGCCCGTGCGATCCGAGAATACTGTCTGTTCTCCTGCGAAAGCCGTAGGTTTTCCATGTCTTCTTCCCATTCATGACACCCTTTGGCCACCTGAGAGTTGAAGTCAGAGATTAGCACACTGAACAGCGCAGACTCACGGCCTCTATCCTCTCCCCCAGACCTATGCGCTGTTGTACGACCTTCTCGAGCATCGCTGTGATGAGCTGGCGCCGTTGGCTGGATCGCATCTCAGAGTCTTGGGGGTCTTTGGGTAGCGGGGAGACCATCGGGCGGTAATGGCGCCGGGAAAGCGGCTCGTCCGGGGCAGTGTCAATGCATGACGTACAGAGCCGCTGCCACCGAGTGTAATTCGCGTCCACACCACCACGTCCACATCGCTGCTTTGCATGTCAAGCTGGCAATTCCAAACAAGCGGCGGTCACATACCTCGCAAACACGCGGTCCAAACAGCAGTCTTGCCCATCGTCGCGCTTGGAACCCCTCCGGACATTTCGGAAGCGCCGGAATGGCCTCCACATAGAATGAATTGCGCCATGTAGAGTCGGCGACGGGGGAAAGTAGGAGTGCACGGAGAGGCTTACACGTGCGGGCCACATGTAAGAGCTCCAGTGGGTGAAGGTGGCCAAGAATTTCAAGGAGGACGTCGGTGTGGAGAGTGGAGAGGAGGCTGAGGTCGAAGGAGGCGAAAGGAGGCCTTGCACGACGGAGTGCGGACCACTCTGCCACGGTATTGGGGTTCACTGGTCGGAGTGGTTCAGCGGGGGCGATGCGGAAGCAAAAGAGGGATACGCAGCGAGAAATCCCGGTATAGGACTTCCTTGGGCGCGTCGTCAGCGAAGGGGAGGCAGTCGCCTTCGCGTTCCATCGATATCGTGCCAGCTCGGGTGGGGATTGGTGGGTGTGGTTAAAAACGTAGAGGGAGGTGATTTTAACGCAAGGACGCGAGTCAAGCACTGTCTTGCGTCACCGTCGGCCCCGTCGACATGGAGGTTGCTGGCAGACCTGTGACTTGACACCACTTGACACCTGTCACAGAGCTGATCCGATCGGTCGGGCGAATCGGACCGATGTGAGGATGGTGAAAACTCAGAGGACTTGACCAGAGTGTGTTGGCTACTGGTGCAAAGCCCATCTCTCGAGACACCCTTCATCTTGACACTATTCCTTCACGCAGGTCCCGAGCTGGGCCGTGCATTTCTATTCGTCGAAGACTGGAAGCATTTACAAGTCGGCAGTTCCGATCAACGAGCGGGGTACCGATAACTCACAGGTTCCATATAAAATGCAGCGCAGCCTAGAGGGGGGGTCGTATCTCAATGGAACAGCTTCCTACCAGCGTAACCTTCGACATCCGCGCGACGCTCACCGCTATCCTCGCGGACACTGCGCGGGGCGAGTGGAATAGCTGGACGGCTATCATCGACCCCGACGTGCACTGGCGCATCGCGAGCGAGGAACAGGACCCTCGGTTCCCATCGGGTGTGCATGCACGTCATTTTTACACATTTCCTTACATATTGCCTTGCTGATATCTTTTGCCAGAACCTTACAAGCTGGACGCGTGATATTGGCAGTCGATTTCAGCCATGTCTGACTGCAGAGCCCCTGAAGATGTGGATGCATTCATTGGAGGTATATATCCCCTATTGGACAGTGATTGTCGCATTTCAAGTTCATGCTCCAAGGTTGTCGGCAATAAGGCCATGATGGAAGCAGAGGGCAGAGCAACACAGAAAAACGGGAAACCCTACAGCAATCGGTGTGTGCTCTGTTTCCATTGGGATTGCTGACATGACTCATTTAGATATGCATGGTTCTTCACATTTTCAATGGCAACTGGCAAGATCGTGGAGATACATGAGTACTTGAACACAGCATATGTTAGAGATGCTCTGGAGGACAATATATAGTACTAAGTATTTGCTTCACAGAGGTTCAATATTGGAAGCTTTACAGAATCATTGGGGGCAGTTTTCTTTCAATCCAGTTTACAAAGTGTATTTATAAGCTTGGAGAGGGCATAATCTTGCTTGTTTCTCTTAGGGTGCTATGAGTAATTCAAAAAGAATTACTCACCGCTATTTCGAAACCAGGGGGTTTGTAAGGGCAACCCCGGCGGCCTGAGATCAAGGTCTAGCAGGGGAGGATCCAAAGCGTGAACATTGGTAAGCGAATACAAATGAAGCTGACCTAGCAGGGGAGGATCCAAAGAGATGAAACTCTAAGGGTCCACCTGCTAGGTAGCTGACTATATACTGCTTGTCCGTAGCTGCCGCTGTTGGGCACAGAAAGCTTGGGCGGCGTTGCAGGCGAGGTCCCAGGGCGATCGTTGGGAGGGCGTTGACGGATTGGTGATTGTGCGGGCGAGATGGAGGGCCGGACCAGAGTATCGGAACAGTAGAGATCAAAGGTGATGGCATGCTGTGGTCCTGCCAGATGGCTGCCTGTGCTGATCCCCCAACAGCCCATATGGTGTGCATTGCCACCTGTTAATCCCTATTATCTCCACATATTAGAAGGGTTGGCCCATGTGGGCAACCCTTCGTAGCTCTGCATAACTCCCTGCTGTACAGCTGTGTATTCCCCGTTTACTCGGGACAGCTCGGCCTCAATGACCACTTGTCGATTCGCCAGGGCGGTGTTTTCCGCCTTGAGTTGCTCCATCTCCTGATTCGTTCGGAACAGATGGGCGAACAGGAACTCCTGTTGTTCGTTATGGCCCAGGGCCATGAATCGGGCACGCTCGTCCCCCTGGTTCGCGGGGGTGCCCATCGTACTGTCGTGCTCGGTAGACATTGTCGCACTTTCTTGCGTTCGTGGGGGAGGCTAATATTCTGTCAGCGTCGGGCTCGGGCCGTATCGGGGCGTCGGGGGGTCCGACTTAGAGAGGATCTGGGGAGCACAAAAGGTGGGTATTCACCCGGAGAATAGACGATATTAGCCTAGCGACTACATCTTGTAAGTACGGTTTTATACGCCTATGATATTAGGGATAGATCGGATGGGCGCCAGGTCCCAGGGCGGATCAGATGGGCGCTGTGTAGGGCCTCAGGGATGAAGGGAAGGGGCTGGAAGAATGTGGAAGCGTCGAGGAGTATGGCGGTATGCGGGCCCGGTCGGGCCCGTGCGCCCTTGTGGCCCGGCGGCCCGACCCGAACCGTGACAAGTTTGAATGAGAGCAATGGCATTGTATGTCTCGAGTGCTCGCTGAATAGTCTTGGATCGGGTCTGTATCGATCCCGCCAGGTGAGTCCGCAAGTGATAACCTGTTATTGTATGAGTTAACGATGGACACACAGAGGAAATTGCGTACCTAAACCCGATTGATTCATTTTTGAAAGCTCTGGCAGTCGTTGAACAAGAAGGAGCTCAAGCCGGTTGAGAGCCTGGTTGTACTCCAATTGCATAGCTTCGCGCTCAGCCGCCTGATACTCCACTTGGTCTGACGTCCACCGGTTTGTAACCCCAAGCTCTACCTCCAACTCCTGCACTGTCGTTTCCTCTCGTTCCAGTCGTTCTTGGGCATGTCGGAGATTGATCTCGGCTTTTGTTCTCCCAGGCATGTATGCAGCGTCATCTCCGTTAGCGCGCCGAAACACAGTTCGACACTCTCGAAGAGCAGACCTGTACCTGACTTTAGTAAGAGAGTCAACATATTGTCGGAATATACACACATTGCGGTTTCAAGCCTGTTCAATCCATATATATATCGTGTTCTGGAGGTCTCGGTGGCAGAAGCAGCAGCCGCCTTGAGTGCGAGAAGCCATTCCTTTTCCTCTGCGAGCGCCTTGACAAAGTCTTCCCCATCTTCGATTCCCTCCCGCGCCATCAGCCCCCGAACGACAGGCTCCGTTTCGATTATGCGGATGGCTTGGCGATAATTGTCGCAGATGAACTTGCCTAATAGTGGTCAGCAGGGGCAAAGACAATGAGGAAATATACCGACTTAGATTTGCATAGGTTTCAAAGGTATCGATGTGCTTGAAATAGGTCGTAATTTCTTGTTGGCGATGAAAAGCGCTAGCGTTTCAACATGCGCGAGCAAGGGCATTGGAGCGAGAGAAAATCAAAAATCGCTCCAATGTTTCGAGATCTTCTAAGCCGAGGCCCTCGATGTATGTCGTCAGATATGATAGCTGACATAGTCGGTTGTGCGCGTGCCCATGGAAAGACCCCACAAGACAGGTAAAATTGCGTTCGCCAGCCAATCGTCCTAGGTTGCTGTTGGCAATCATCTTCTTCAAATTACACGCCACATCATAGCCACCAACTGTGTCCTCCTCCTCAGTGCACTCAAGAAAAGCCTCCACGACAGCTAGCGTGTATTTCGATCTAAAAGATTAAGTAAACGAGTAAGAAATGGGTGATAGAGCTTACAATTCGCCGCTTTGGACCATATCAGCAGCCCAGCCGTTGGATCCTGCCAGACCTCTTGATCGAAACACGTTTCTGCTCAATTGCGTCAGTAAGAGACACAGGATGTGCACTCAGTTTTACTAATAAAACTGTGGCTACTGGTGAAGGGCTGTACTCATAAAACCTGGGGGAGTTCATGCCAGCCATGGCCGGAGTACTGTGACAAAAAATGTGACATTCAATCAATTGTGAATATCTCAATGAGTTTGACAGCTATGACTAAGATATTACCAGATATGGAAAGGCAAATCACTATTTTTTCAGGCCGAAGACCCGGATAAACATCTAGGTAGGCCTGTGATCTAGGGCAAAGGTATACACCCTAATTAGGCTAAAATTGATGTATCCTGACATAGCCATCAATGATACTGGTGTCCATCAAAAATTGTTCCACATTGATCACTTTATCTTGATGTCATCAATCCCATCATCAATACTATGATCTAACACCCAAAAATGAATAAAATGGTTTTTTAAAAAGTGTGACATTTGTGACCCTTGAGCCCTTCCCCAGGTTTTATGAGTACGGCCCTTCACCAGTAGCCACGTTTTTATTAGTATTCCTGAGTGAATGAGCTGAGAGACAAACAAAGGAGCCGCAAGATGTACCAAACATATCAACCACAGTCACTGGATACAAATTGGCGTCGGAAGTATGTTGATGTTTGTCCATTGTCGTTGGAGATGCACAGAGACGAAGATATGCACGAAGCATACGAGGAAATTGAATCTCGAAGGCGTCCACCTGCTGTTGAGTGCGTTGTCGACGTGTCCGCCAATCACGGCGCTGCCGTCTGCAAACTACATGTGAGCAGCTTGAAGGTCAATTGTAGCTTGAAGCTTACCCTGAATGTAGCTTCAGCAACATGGCTTCATCCAAAGCCGCAAATTCTTCGCCAGCATGGCTGAGTTCAGCCTTGTGGGTGCCATCCAGTACGCCACCTAAAGTGATGATGTTTTCCCGAGAGAGGAGGTCGAAGGCGTCGAAATTGTCGTCATTAGCCAAGTTTTGAAGAGAATGGAGTGTATCCAGTGCCTTGGGAGCCATAACTACAGCGAGCTCTTTCAGTAGTAGACCCTAAAAAAAATTACTTACCCTCTTGCTCCTCGTCAAGCCGCCGCGCTGTATCAATGCGATACTTTTGGATAGCAGAAGTGTTGAGCAGTTTCCGCTGCCCAGCTGTGGTGGAAAACAGCCCCAAGGCCGGGGCAGAGGTACCCAGCAAAACGAGCTTCTTTGAGCGCGCCTTGGACTTGTGCATGGGATGAGTCACCGCAGTCACGTCACCACAGTCACATCATCCACACTTTGTTTCTCCACTCACTGCTCTTCACTCTTCTGGTCCGTCGTCAAACGAAGGTCCATGCCGACGCCTATCAAGCAGGCGCTTATGGTAGCTCTTCTCCACTTCTACCCTTCAGCACTGACGATGTCTTGTAGTTCACACC